AGTTTCCTGCGCAGCATGGAAGGTCAGACCCCTCTTTTTGGTAAAACCCTCTGGACGTACAGCTCTGAGGTCTGAGCTCTGGACGTACAGCTCTGTACTTTGGTGGTTCATCCCTTCCTGCAATACAGTCCACCTGCCTGCACCCTGGGCGACACCAGCTTGCTGTCCGCCTTCTCCTTTCTCCAGTAGGAATCCCCTCCTAGGCAGAAGAGAGTGACATCCTGGTGGCCCCTGCTCCCAGTTCCTGGTTGGCAGACTTTAATGGTCAATTCATCCTCAGGCTGGCAGAGCATTGTGCCAGCCCCTCTACTGTACCTGAGGTGCAGGCAGCTGGCCATTCACCCTGGTCTGTTGCACCAAGCTCTTGGGTCTATAACGCCTACAGCTATGCCCCATTTCCTGGGGGGTGGGGGGGTGGCTCTGGTCTTGGCACTGTAATAATGTAACTGTCTTGTGTAGACTGTAAAGTGCCCCTTATAAGCAGTAAACTTTTGATTTTGTAGCTGGTTATGCCATCCAAATGTTTTTTTATCTTTTAGAACCACCAGAGCAACCACCGGCCGGACAATTTCAATTTTGATTACAGTCTGTAAATATCCATCATGCACAATCCATGACTCAAATTATGTTAGAATTATATTAAATTCCACATGGGAATCACACTCACAGACTATATGACCAGTTACCCAAAACCCATTGTCCCAAGGGCCTGTTCCAAATCTCTGTTCTCCAAAACCGTTCCAGTCGGTGACCTCGGATTGCTACAGTATCTTTTGTCTTCCGCTAAACTCTATGCAGTCCTTTGATGGTCATAGGCCTCTTGAACAATGCGATCCAGTTTTGAGTAGGGGGTGAGGAAGATGATGCTGGGGCCTCTCTCCACTACACTGCTCTGTGTAGAGTACCAGGAGTCTGAGTCCTCTCCTGGTTCTAACACTGGAAGTTGTGTTCCCTTCAGTTTTCCCCTCTCAAATGCTCTTTTGAGTTCTCTTGACTGGGGCTTATGATGCCCACGCATGTCTAATTGTCAGCAGCCATATCACCCTGTAACTCACAACTCACAAACTACTGAAGCTCAGCAGCTGTGAGCCTGGTCAGTACCTGGATGAGAGAGCTCCAGAGAAAAACTAAGCTTTCTGCTGACATTATAGAGAGTTCAGTAGGGGGCGCTCACCCCCTGGTCGGTGTGGGTCCTAATTCCCCAGTATAGTGACGGAGACACTATACTGTAAAAGGCGGCATCCTTGACTCTCTGTGGTCATTAAAAATGACTAGTGGTGTTACCCTTGGTCATTATCCCATTGGCCATTACCAATCACGGCCTCCTAATTAATCCCCATCTATGAATTGGCTTCATCACTCTGTTCTCCTCCCCACTGATACTAGCTGATGTGCCATCAGCGTTCTGGCGCTCTATGGCTGCTGTCACATCATCCAGGTGGAGGCTGCACAGTGGTGGTGGAGGGGAGTCCCCATTACCTGAATAGAGCATTGAGTGGAGTGTCCAGAAAAGCGCAATATAAGTATGAGGAACTATTATTAAATTTTATGAACCTCTCGTAACCAGGGTTCAGGACCTGTTTTCTGAGGAGACTGTGTGTGGGGGGGACAGCAGTGTCACTTTAATGTTTTGGATGTGGCAAGAGGTATCTGCTCAGGGCTCAATGTTGAATTGGTTGTATGCAGATAGGTACAGTAATTAAATATTTAATTTTATTTGTTCATACATTCATTTCTGTCATTCAATAATTCATTTATTACTTTATTTTAAATGTATACAGTATATGGAATATACCACAGTATATACACTACAGTCTAAAGTAGGGAAAGAATAACCTTTTTAACTAAGAATATCAAGAGGTACAGTATGAGGCTGAAAATAATAAAATATCCCAGTATTGTTTAATAAATTCCGGGATGTCTTAAAACCTGAATCAAAACTTTTCCAGGTCAGCTGTTAAGAAGAGAACATGTTTTTTTCCAAGTCCAAACACTTTGGTTATACAATACATGAGGAGATACTGAACTTAGTGACAAAAAATATATAATTACTCTTCTGTTTCTCATACAGATAAGTAGCAAAAGACATTTCTTGAAGAAGTTATTGTCAGTGACAAAGGATATAAGGTAGTAGGGATTTTTTACGTTTTATGGGAACAAAAACGAACAATACAAATAAAATACAAAAAGTATATTCTCAGTTTATAAATCAAAAATCCATCTCCCCTCTTTCACCAGTGGCAACCCTCCCTAACCCATCCCACAATGGAAGCCAGAAACCACTGAATCAGTAGCAGAATGATGATGACATGTTTCATAGTGAACCATGTAGTTGGCTGCTGTCTCCCAAGATTGTAGGGTTCTTTTCCTGGCACCTGAACAGTATATAGAGCCAAAAGAAACATCTTATTATAAACCACTAAATTTTCACATTAGATTTAAATTTGTTGCAAAAATGCATTAATTCTAGTGGTGGAACTACTGTGCTTTACATAAGAGCATATTGCAAATATGTGTATTTCTCTGTGTATTAGCAAGAAAACTGGAATGTTATTCTCATATTAATAATAGTACTTTTTAGGTATTATAGAAATACCTTGCATAACACATTTTATTAGCACCAATTCACCACAGCACTCTGTCTTTGTTTTAATTACTTTAAATAATCCTGTTTAAAAGCAGAATGCTTGCTTGTCTGTACACAGACTAAAGGCAAAAAGCAAAGAAAAATAGTGCTCAATCTCTTAGCCAACAAGTGTTGAAAAATGCTTATTTTGACTGCACATGACAATGCCCCATGTCATTTGTAATAGATCCCCCATTTCTTGTGCCAATTTTGCTTATTAATATTGCCATGAACCACAGTCTGGCCCATCTCGGCAGATGTACAGTAAATTCTACTGCTGCCAAGCTGGAGGAGTGAAGGCTGACAATACTTGATCTACAGTATGACAGCTCTCACTGAATATATGGATGTACAGTTTTTTCTTCTGTCATTATACAGTCATTTACAAAATAAAACTCCTTTCTGAATAAAATGAATTTTACAGTAAAACTATAAGTAACACTATTACAATAACCCAGTGAATCTTGTAATTGTTCTCCAAGAAACCCATCCCCATTTGGCCCTGGTTATAATGGGTTATAATTTCCTCTATTCCCACAGCATTCATTTATCTGGAACACACTTCAATCACAAAGTGAGATATGCCTGTCTAGTCAAAACATTATTTGGCTCAATTTACCAAAAAATGTCTAACAATGTGCAACAGGCTTCAGCCTAAATAAGGTGGCTCATTAGGCCTGAGCATATTAAAACTCAAGATGGCATGTGGAATACAGTACTAGGAGCCTTTATGGAAGCAACGTCTCATCTCTAACACAAAGAATTCCTCTTCAAACACCCACAACCCCTGGTCAAAATCTGGCAGAACTGGTAGAGACAGAGGTGTTATAGTCTACAGGCAGGTGATATTCTCTCCCTTTTACAGAGGTTGCAAGGGATGAGTGTCTTTGCTTCAGCCATGTCCATAATAAGGAATAGGCAAAGGTTCATTCTATGCTGAAAGCTAAGGAAAAGAAACACTTTGTTTCACCAGTGGAGCTTCTTCAGGTGTGTGACTTACCTGAACAAGACTCCACAGGCGAAATGTAGCGTTTCTTTTCCTTTTCTTACCTACTGTAGCATGTTCCTTTGCAGCCTACACGTGTTCATGCAGCTCCCCACTACATCTTATTTACAGCATTATTATTTCAGACTGTTTGACTGGGAGATTATATTAAATGTTTTCGATTATTAATTTTCAATGTTACTAGTATGTTCCCTGTATACTATATATTGCAATATAAAATATATGTTTAAAGCTTCAGTATACTAAACTGTTACTTTGTGAAATAAATCTTAATAAACCACACATAATAGATTTTCTTTGAAAAAGCATTTCACACATTTTTAATAATAGTTCAGATGGGTAGCTGCGTCAGCATGCGTAGGCTGCAAAGGAACAACTAATAGGCTTATCCTATGCTGAGAAGAAAAGAAAGAAAACTCAACGTTTCAGCCATGGAGCCTTCTTCGGGTGTGAGAAAGACAGGGCAGTAAGCAAAGGTAATGGAGAAGGAGAACACAAGCTGGGAGAGAGGAGTGAGGGGTGGGAGCAGGGGACACACAGAGTGGTCAATCAGGTAGTGTGAAGTCAGGATAGGTGAAGAGAGGTGTGAAATGAAACCTACAATGAATTGAGAGAATTTAGAAGAAAATTAGTCTGTCACTGAGAGAAGGGGAAAGGTGTGATCCTAGCTGCAGGATAATTTTAGTTTCTGTAATCTTTCTGATGTAGGAGTTACAGTAGGAAAACCAGCTTTGAGAACTTATTTTTTAATAATGATGAATACAGCACATTTTGTTGTATTATATTTATTTGTATTATAATATTTAAATTACTTTACAAACATATATATCTAAACAATTTAGCATTTGCTATTATTATTTTTTGATTTTCTATTAGTGTGGATTAACTATTATCACTATTTTAAAAGCAGAAATATATTTTGGCAATTACATAAACAATATTATTTTTGTATTATTAATAAAAATACACCCACAAATGAAATTAAAAGAAATCCTGATAATACAGTTTCAGACAAATGAGCAAAAATACTACAATAATCAACAGCTATTGTATGAAATTTCCATGTTTGAAATTAAATGTCAGCAATAACAATAAAAGGTAAAACTTTATTGTAAAAATGTAAAAAAAAATAATTCTTGCACTATGCTCCATTTAAAGGCAAAACGTCTTGTGCACCATTAGGTAAATTATATGTGGAATAAAATTACTTTGAGACAATTAATTCAGCCTGATGAAAAGAAACAAAATTAAACAATCAGCAAATAATACAAGACACATAAATGTTACACCTTGGTTGGTTTGGAAATTATGCTTACATGTTGTGCATTTGTCATGAGAAAGCAAAGGAGGCGCATGATATATTATTGAGGGGAAGATTCTTTTTTATAATTAAAACCAGAAACCCTTTATAGACCAAGTTATATCATTTCATGATTAATGAATATATCTAGACCATGCTATCCCACTCATTCACAATTCTCTGTAATTCAAAGTCTATGGATTCAAGACTATGCCTGTTTTTCAGAGTGTCTCAAGGTCTAGTCACAGGTTGTAGATTTTGATCATCTTTGGGTTCTTTAAAATGTGCCTGTCACCTAAGCATTACAGCTTTGCCCTGAGGCTACCCACAGCAGGTTTACTGGAGCAGAACTCTGACCACCATGATGGTCTCTCAAGCACCTTACTGCCTTGAAGAACTGTAACCCACAGGTTTTTATAAATCTGAAAAACAAAAACACACCACAGGGTTAGATTGAAAGACTAAGGAATAGTTAATGATAAATGGAGATTCTTGGGTTGTTGAGTCTGGGGAAGAATCTGCACACTACCTATCGTATCACTTCACTTTCAATAATTATCCAGTTCAGAGTCACAGTGGCCCAGAACCTGTCCTGGAAAGCCCTTGGCACAAGGTGGGATACACCCTGGACAGGATGTCAGTTCACTGCATGGCACAATTAACCTACCTGCATGTCCAAGTGCACACTGGGAGAACATAAAAACTCCACAAAGATAATGCCCCAGGAACTGAACCCAAGGCCCCAGTGCTGAAAGGCACCACTATGCTGCCCAGGACAATGAATTAGAAATTAATTATAAGGAGCCATGATATTTAAAGCAGTCTCATTAAAATGAAATTATTAATTGTCACTCTCGGATAAAATAACAAATATACACATCGATTTTATATGTTGGACCAAAATATGAATTGATCTTTTTTTCTGCATGATATGCAATGTTGGAAATTATCATGCAGCTGAGTTTCTATTTCATCTTTCAGTTTTTTATGGTCACATTATTTGGTCTGCAACTTCATACGTATATGCACTATATACTTTACATGTACAGGGACAACACTGAAAACCAAAAACTTGGGTCACGGCAGAATTGGCATTTTATGCCACAGTGGCAAGACATGCAATGCATCTCACAAGTCTATGAGTTGGTATAAATAAAAGGGTACAATGGAAATTATGCAAAAGCACCCATGTTTTAATATTATGAGTAGTTCTTAATATCCTAAAAAGTAATACTGGGGAATTGTGAGTGACTCAACTGGTAAAAGTGTTCAGTTCAGAGGAAGGGAAGCTCAGTAACATACTGTAATACTGTAGGCTTATTGTGAACTTGCAGGTTTGCAGTGTTATTGAGTTCCACCTCTTCCAAACAGTGCTGAAACTCAAGTGCAGAACCGTGTGGCCTACAATATGTTAAAAGACATGACATTTGAAGGTGCGTGGGTTGTGAGAATCTCTGTCTACTACCTCATTCCAGCCTGTGTGAGGTCAGGGGGATTGTGGCTGTGAACTCAGCAGAGAAAAACACACAGCTGATAATATGAAAACTGGGTGGGGAAAAAAAAATGAATTAGTGATTCTATTTTTTTTAGCAATCTTTCTTCATCAAAGTATTTTCCTGTTTGGCATATGGCAGACTTTGCCTTTGCAGGGAAATATTTTAAATTTGCTTCTGCGAACAGGAAGAACATTTCTCATCTGAACAATATTTTTGGGTTTAGAGACCTTTCCTCCTTTAAGAATTTGGAAGAACGATATTGTCTATCTTAAAACTGACCTCCCATTTAAAAGGACCCATCACTAGCTACCAGCTTGGGGATTATGCACATCTAATTCACCCCTGATCTCAGATAGTTTTGAAGGTCTACGCAGAGCTGTATCTAAAATATCTAAAGTTATGTCATCAGTTGAGAAAGACATCACAACGCTATTTAATACATGGGTGAGATATTTTGGTGTACCACATATTGGCTAAATATATGGGGAAATGCCTTGTCATTTTCCAAAAATGTAAAAATAAAACTCCACAGACTGCCCTAATAAAAGGCTTTTGTCGTATGGAGCTAGGCATACTCTATCTCAGAATTATTAAAAACTGTTCTGGCAATACCATTGATAATTATATACTGTTTAAGAATGAAATGGAACTGTCCAATAACTGAGTAGTTCTGGAATTACATCCTAAACACTCTCCCCATGATTACTACCTGCAAAATCACAGGATCAGCAATCAGAATCAGCAGTTTTTAGACAGAGTAAGTACAAGGTCACACTGAACCAAACAGCCTCATGAGGGCTATAATTTGGAATTACAAGCTTCTTCTTTTGCCACTACTACAATTCTGTTCATGAGTGACATTAAAGAAACCCAAAACTCTGTACAAAAGCACAAATAATATACAAAAATGAGGCATAACATACTGTTCTAGGAGAATAAGAGTTAAACCCTGACATGCCATGACTAAAGGTATGCATATGTTCAGTGATATAAATCATAAATATAATTCTGCATAAAATACATGCAACTGTACGTACGTAAATATGTATTGTGACTCTAGGGGGTTGTAGCTACCATTATGGCCATGAAACAGGCTATCCATTTCTCCAGACATGCCTCTCAAAGACTGCTGGGGAACGTTTTGCTCATTTTCTCTTTTTTCCATGTACATTGGGGCAACCAGGACACGAGGTACACATATGATCATCCTGAGGTTTCCTTCCTTCGATGAGCCCCTCACTCACGGTTACCCAGACGCACCAAACCACACCTCTGGCTCCCTAGCTAGTCACTTTGGGGGAGTAGCAGTCGTAGCCCCTCAACTCAGTTGATGCCACTGGGCTGGCCTGCCCTTACCTGACACTGATGTGGCTGTCTCAATTCTATCTAATTGCATTTCTGACATAAAAATTTGGATGACTCAAAACTTCCTTTATCTTAACTGTGACAATACTGAAGTCATGCTTATTGGCACCCCCCATCAATTTCGTAAAGCCAGTCCTGTAACCCTATCTGTAGATGTTTCTGTACTTGAGCTTCAATCAAAATTGAAAAACCTTGGGGTTATATTTGATTCTGGCTTAACATTCAACCCACATGTGCAGCATACTGTCAAAACATCTTTTTTTTCACCTCAGAAATAACGCTAGACTATGCCCTATGCTATCACTAACTGTGGCTGAAAAGCTGATTAACACATTTGTGTTCTCTCGAATTGACTACTGTAATGCTCTACTCGCTGGGGTATCTAAATCTACTCTGAACAAACTGCAGTATGTCCAAAATTCAGCAACCAGAATCCTGACCAGTTCTAGTGCAAGTGTTCACTGGCTTGCACTGGCTTCCGGTCAAATTCCGTGTAGACTTTAAATTCCTCATGCTCACCTATAAGGTTCTACATGGCTTGGCATCTCAGTACCTGTCTGAACCATTATTGCCCTACTCCCAACCTCGCAACCTTTGCTCTTCTTATTCTACGCTCCTTACTGTCCCCCAAGCCCGTCTACATTGTACTGTATAGGTGACAGGGCCTTCTCCTGTTATGCCCCCAAGCTCTGGAACTCTCTCCCCAAGGATATCAGAGAGTCACCTTCTCTAAACTCCTTCAAATCCAGACTAAAAACCCTCTTCTTCAGAAAAGCCTTTACTTAACTGATTCCATTCTTCACCCTTCTGCTTTTCTAAGTACCACCATCCACGGTCTCCTCTGTATATTGTAATTGTGTTTTATCTTGTGTATTGTTCTTATTTATTGTTGTTGTCATCCTGTAAAGCGCTTTGAGAAGCCACCTTTAAAGGGGCTATATAAAACAAAATTTATTTTTATTATAATTATTATAATTATTATTATTATTATTATTATTATTATTATAACCTTACCGGCAGGCCGACAAGGCAACAGTCTTTAGAAATATTCCCTGCTGTCAGAGGATTCTAATATTTTTTTAGTATCTTCTATCCGATGTGAATTAATCACGATTCAAGATTCAAGAATCAAGTCCTTCCAGCGTTTAATTATATTAAAAATATTATACATAGTGGCTTTAAAAATAGCATTTAACACTAGTAAAAACCTCAATTATGGTTTCTATTTAAGGGCATCTTTAAATTCCCTTACACTCTACAAGTATCCTGGAGATTATTGGTCTGGTGATCTACTGACCGGTAAAACTGTCTTTCTTTACTTCCCCTATGGCAGGATTCGCACTTTTGGGAGTTCTATTAGGAGCTCACTTATAAATCTCTGTAATAAAATTATTGAGTGGAAGAGACTGACAGCAGTACTGCAAGGAAGAGAGTATAATGGTATAGAGCTGCACAACAGATTTCTTCATATTGGTTCTATAATCCTCATCTGCAAAAAACTGAAATGGCACTCAATATACACACTGTATACAGTACCACCTATCATCCTCAGCCTTGTCAGGTTGGTGTGGAGAGCACCTGTGATACACCATGGTTCGGACAAATGGTTTTGGATGAATTAGTGTTTGTGTTTTCCCTGTTTATTTTACAACAACATACCTTCTTTTTAAAGGATATTAGAAATCACTACATCTTTACTAGACCCTTCTGGGGTATAGATGTTTTTTTATCATTATTAATCACAACGTATTAAAATATTGCAGTTGTGTTTACAGTACATTTCCTACATTTTCAACCCGTTCAAGATAATATTGTCCGGAAGTCTCATTTTTTGGTGAACATAAATGAGCAAATACACATGCAGTATGAGTTGGTAACATGCAGGACTGAAAAGCAAGTTAATTGGGTCTTGGATTAATGATAAGTGTCACCTATAAACTTCGACTGAGGGATAGGTGCCTGAGATGTGAAATGGAGAGCAGCTGGTCTTATTTTGTGATTAGCACATGTTAGTTTTTAACTGAAAATGAGCATTGGTCATAGACAAGTTTAAAGCGAAGTCACATGCCAAAAAATAAATACCGAAACAATGAGTAACACTTCTCATGATTCAAACTAGACTTTTGAAATAGTAATGGAAAATAAGGATGCAAAACAATTGACCAATTTAGCAATATTTTAGACAAAGAAGAAATACATACGTCTGTTCTATAAACATTTCTCAGAATTTATTCTAAGCATTAAAATATTTCACTTTAAAATTTTTAATTGTCAACATATGTTTATGTTGTATTGGCCATAAACCTGTTTCATTTAACACCAGGGCACAAATTATTACAAAACAGATCTCCATACCTCATTTGAAATTCCTATGGAATCTATCACAGCTGTACATAAAACAATACGACCCATCTGTGGTTTCAGTAATTAATCTGAAACATGTCCCTCAGTGATCATAAAACTGCTCTTTTTAAATTCTTTCACGATGTACTAATGAGTACATATAGATTTAAATAGCATGAATTTATGTTTTTTAATGAAATATCTTTTAACCAAACAGATTCTACAATATGTGCATGACATCCATACTCAGCTTATCATTATTCTTAAGAAACATATAACACTTGTAAAAGTGTGTCATACAGTACGTAATGTTAATAAAGCATGATTTTCCAAATCCATGGAGCCCTGGGATTGGTTCTGAACCTGTGGTGCTACAGCATCTGTTCTCTCTGTGTTTGAATGGGTCTCCTCTGGGTGCTCCAGTTTGCTCCCACATTCCAAAATATACTGGTAGGTTAATTGGCTTCTGTGATAACTCGCCCTGTTGTGAGTGTGTGCATATCTGTGTTTGCATCTCATCCGCCCTCTCTTGCCGGGATTGGATCTCCTGCAACTCTGTATTGTATAAAGCTGTTATTAGATGGACAGATGGATATCTGCTGAATTTTCTTTCTGAAAATCCAAGCGGTGCTGATCTACATAATTAGTCCTTAGCCTTTTGACTGACTACTGGTGGAACCACAAAATAGCAGAATTATTTAACAGTCATGGTACACCAAACGTTTTGAAGGTAGTGTAAGTACAGAAGCTATAATAAGCTTTAGAACAAATGGTTTATCTGAACAATTTAACTAAACTATGAAAATTAGATGTGTTTTTTGAGGTTGTGTACGATGAGAAGTCACAAATAAGTTCAAGAGACTAAATTGTGAAAATATGTACAAAAGTTGTGTGTCAGAGTAATTTCAGCAAACAATCCATTGTGTGTCAGTCCTCTAGAGGATATGAGGAAATAGTGGTATGTGTCTGTCTTTTTTAAACATTCTTCTGTTTTTTATACTTATGAAAGCCCTTCTTAATCATTCTGCCTGAAATCTTCTTGAAATTGTATTTGTAAAAAATATTGACTAGCAATAAGTAAAGGCAGAATCAGTAATTAGCATGAATTCCAATTAAGGAGAAAAATGTTTGCCACATGTTTTATAGTGGTTTTTGATTTCTTGAAACATTTAAGGGACATCAGGAGATGCCAAAATTTCTTCTGATATCAAATGAAAACAATTACAAGTAAAAACAAAACCATGGTAGATTCACACAAAAAATACATCAAATAATCTTAAAAAATGTCCTAACAACCTTTGTAAAAATTGAATGATAAGTAATTGTCAATATAATCAACTATTAGGTATCTAGCAAACATTCAATGAAAAATGATTTTTAATATTTACCAACAAATCATGTGCTTATAAGACTTACTGCAATGATGGGTTGATGAACATGATAATTCTTACTAAAAAGTTAAAGATTAGATATTAAATATGAGATATTTGATATGATATGCTATTAAACGTGATATTGGTCACTAGAAGTGTCACGCCTGACATCCCTCCCTAGAGGGCGCTCCACTACTCCTGTTATTGTTCTTGTGATTAAGCTCCCCAGGTGTACCTTGTTATGTGTATTATTTAAAGACTAGCTCCTCCAGTCCTCGGGGCTCATCATTAGGGTAAGGATGTCACAAGACCCACCTGGCACCAGGAAACCCTACGTCCGTCTCCTGAAGGCATAGGCCTCATCCCTGACACCTCCCACTTCCTGAGCCCGGGGTCTGGAGGATCTCACCCCGTCACCCTTGGACCTACATGTTTTGTCTGTCCGTGTGTTCCCCCCTCCCTGGGATTTTAACCTTACAGCGTCCCAGGATAGATTATTCGCTGATGGTCTCCCGGACTGTGGCCTGACCTGTCTTTGGACCCGTTTGGATTTGGATGCCGTTCATTGTCTCCCCTGCTCACTGTCTAACGGGCTGTCACTATTATTTTGTGCACTATTAAACCCCTGTGTGTTTCCTTTTACCACACCTCCTGTTTTCTCCAGCTCTTACCGCATCGCATAGGGTCTACTACAAGACCTGACACGGATCTTAGTCCGTGTTCGTGACAAGAAGAGGCTGCCAGACTTTACTGGGTTGCAGCCAAGAAATGTGTCACTTGTTAAGCCTGATCACTTTTCAAGTATAAACTACACCTCTGCCCTTGCGAACAATTTCTAAATTTTAAGAAGCAAATGTTCTCTTTTACAAATGTTTTAAATAAAATATGCATTATTGCTAGCCATAACACATAGGAAAAGACTGAGAAACATTGGTCTCTTCTTCATATGAGATGTCCAAATGAATTTTCTTAATCCCTTCAGCTTCTCTTAATATTTAATATCAAGTTATTCAATTTAGTTATAATCCTAAATTTAAATATTAATATTAAATACCTAAATATTTAAGGTGTCAGGCAAATTAAAGCAGCAATAATTCTCAAATACTGTAAATGGCACCTTAGTCATCAGAGTAAACGTTTTATTATTGAAATGTCTTTAAAATATATATTTTCTTTACTGCAAAAGGTTTATGAGAACATTAAGCAATAATTTGCTTCATGGTTTGTCCCTTACCTCACCATCTGCTTTGCCAATGGGTGAGTTCAGGATGAAGTCAGGGGGAGCAAAGACATCGACCAGAGCCACAGCCTCATCCTTCAGCTATTACAGAGACAAATATGAAGTCAGAGCTACTGCACCACAAAAGCACACAAGAATTCTAAAATTACATTAGCAGTGAGTGAATACTGTTGCCCTTATGTACCTAGCTTTGGGGTGTCTTTAATATGAAAGGTGCCTCTATTCCAATTTACTACTAATACAATTATTATTACAACGAAGAAATGAGACAAGTAAACTGTGCTGTGGGGTGCGGAACAACTGCTAATCCCACAGCTATAGAAAACCTACAGTAAGTGCTACCCACAAAGCACAATTACATATTAAATTCTACTGAATCATCACGCTCAATCTAAACCTGATTTCTACTGTGTTAAAAAAACTTCATGAACACATAAAAATGCTTGCACATGCAGTGAATTTAAGCAAATACAAAATATTTAAATATTTACAATGGGGTGGATTAAAATCAAACTGACAAGTTCAACTTTTCAGGCCCTCCATAAATCCCAATAAACAAGACAACAAACAATAAATAGTCAGGCAATTACCTGTGAGCAGAGCCTAAGAATAGCATTTTGAATCATGTCAGCATGCTGCTTTCTGGATAAGTATCCACCTAATTAAAGAACCAAAAACAAATTCAAAAGAAGTAAAAATGGCAGAATAATTGAATGAAGACAAAGTCCTTCAGAAATCCAAATGTTTTCTGTCCTGAATAATGGAGCTCCATCTTAATAGCGTATTTCTCTGTTCTGTAGATAATGATTATAAAAAACATGATGTGCTGCTTCTGAATTATAACATTTGCAGACTAGAGCGAGCTTGTTCATTTTGACACAATCGTAAAACGTTTTAAAACAAGCAATCAATATTTGTAACATTGTAACCCATCTATTATACCAAGTTGCCCCACTTGTCAAACTGCCTAAAATTCAGTTTGGCGTTTGTAAAAAGAAAGCATGACCAGCACCTTGATATAAGATTGCCATATGATTGCTGAGTGTCCACAGGCCATACAATCCACTGAGGTTCTTCAACACAGGTTGCAGGCTGGCTGGAGTAGCAGGATCATGTGTGAAATCATGGAATCTCTGTAGCACAGTGTGCTCTATATAGACAATCGCCAGAGAGCGACAGTAATAGACCTAGGGTAAAAGAAAGAAAATAACTAGATTTCAGAAACAATTGTTTGCACTTAGTTTTTAAACATTGTAATTGTATTAATATCCTTGTCTTTAGGCTTCATTAAATTATTTTGTGGTCTGCTCTAAATCTCTACCAAGCTACTATTTATTACCTCCTTCCAATGCTATCATTATAAATGCAAACAAACAACTTTGTTTTACTTCTCGAATGGAAAACAATCTTTGTTTTTATACAACACAACGACCACCATCTTTTTGGTTATTCATGCTAAATTTAATTCCTATACGCAACACCTTTTCCACCAACTGGGTTTTCCGGAAACCGATCACTTTGTCGATGAAACTGTGCCTCCTCAATTTTCGATTTTTCCTCAAATTATTTTTAGTGAATTCTTGATAAGTATATGAAAACAGTAAAATAATTGTCTAATGGGTAAAATAAAATGTCCTTCATAGTTTTATAAATATATTTGATGAAACACAATGAAAACACAACAGTCTTACATTAATGTCTTATTGGGCATATACTGTACCTGAAGACAATGAACAAACAGTTACAGCTTACAGTATGTAAGCAGATTGGTTTGTTGATTTCTCTTGCAGCATTATTCCTTGGTGTAAAAAATATTGAGCTCAAATTAAGTGATTTAATAAAAGCACCGCATGTTCTGTTTCTGTTTTGAGATTATCAAAATAAGTAAGAAATCTGGTTAAATAACAATAAAAAAATAAATTATTGTTATCGGCAAGAGTTGCTATTGGCATATCACCTGGTTGCTACTGGCATGACCAGGAGGACAGAGGGTCATCATATCCTTCAAGGTCTGTTATAACCACCTCAACCATCTCCATAATTGCTTTTGGACCTTACTGGTAATGTGGGTTAGAGTAGGGAGTACAACAATACTGTTTTTGAACTGTGAAGGAGCAAGCAAAGTTTAATACTACAAATAAAAATAAATAAAAAAATCCTTCAGGTATGTGTGTTATTTTTGTTCTGTATTTAGTTATGCATTAGTATATATTGCACATTAGACATAATCTTTTCCAGAATGACTCTTTCTTCTCCCTTTGTCACCACTCTTATGTGCTCTGACTATTCTTTCATCTCTGTTTCTTTCCTTCTCTACTCAATACATTCTTCTTTCCATTTTTCAGTTTATTTAATGTTTACGTAAGCCCTGCTGTTTCCACTTTTCTTCCTTTACTTCATCATCTGATTCCTTCTGTTCACTCATGCCTTGTCCTCCATAATTCACTCCTTCTCATCCTCATTTTCATTGAGAAGGTAAAACAGTCACCAAACACTCCAATAACAAAGTGACACTTTACAAAACAAATTCTCACTGAAAACAACAGGAAATCAAATAATGAACATCCACATAAATTAATATCTGGTCAATTGTTTAGAGGTCAGAGGTACTGCTAAGAGGAGTTCCCTTAAATGTAAGTAAGAAATATAATATATCTTCCACAACACAAAAGATAAAAGTCAAAACGCAGGCTTAGGCTGACACCTAAAGAGTTTAACATTGACGAATGCAATGTAATATGTTTTAAGTATTAAAGGATGGTACTGAAGTAGAAAAATGTAGACATTTAGGCTGACTCATAACTTAACTCATAGTACAGGGGAACAATAAAGAATGCTAACACATGAGTTACTGTATATAGGGAAGTAGCGTCAGGACTGTACTTTTAAAATTATAGATGTGACGTCCCCTGGAGCAGGGGCACCAGTTGGTAACAGATTGGATCTTGCAAATGAAAGCACAATTGCACAGAAGTAGGAGCAGCTGAATCAACCAGTATTTGTCCTGGTAACAGGATGCAACTATGGATTTCATCAGGAGAATAAAGTGGAAATTCTTAAGACAGGCCAAGTCAATCCCTGCATTTAAATACAATTCAGCATGCATTTTGCATTCTGAAGAAAACACTGGAGCCTGAACACCCCAATGATCAGTAAGACCTTAAAGCTACTGCAGCAAAGCATTGCAAATGATTGTAAAAAGAGTTTGGTGGACTTGATTAACAGTTTTGATTTTGTTATTCCAGTAATGTTAGAGGTAATATTATGGCTTGTACCAATTTCGAGAACATTATGCTAGAAATGGGCAGCAAGGTAATCTCTTAAAATTACATTGCTGGGAGGTGTTTCTATATCTTTACAAAGACAAATAAAATGTACTTTTGGGGCATACATACACATTTTTTTTCTGTCAGGGAGTTTGTCCTTGGAAGCTTGCTGTTACTGAGGCTGTAATAGCTCTTGCTTTGTTAGAAGAGGGCATTAACATCGATATTTCTCCTCCAGTTTCTGGATGCAATATGTTGGGTGGCAGGTCACATCTATTCAGTGTTTCTTTAAAGAGTTCTGTATTCCTCCTCATCTATCCCCAGAATGTGGTTAGAAGCCTATTACCCTTGACTCTAACAGGTGGTTTATTTCTACATCTTAATCCTCTGACGTTCTTTGTAAATTCACACACACACAGTAATCATCCCATGATTTACCAATCTTGTGTTTTGCTGCTGTTGTTACAGTTTCATGACCACCCATGTATTCCTTCTGTTTCTCTGACCGACTTTGGGAAAATGTATTTACTTCACCATATTGTTAGTTTTAGTGTTTGAAACTTTGTAGAATTTATTTGATCTTTTAAGCCTTTTCTTTTCTGGAGAGATTCTCATATTATCTGACTAAGCCATTCTTTTGGGTGTTTGCCTTTTGAAGTTAAGGATTGTCTCCATGGTTTATATGCAACATTCAATTCAAAATACTTTATTCACTGCCAGGGGGGCAATTTAAGACATATTTTAAAAGAAATTCCTTATTTTCTGGAATTTCAACATTTCAACAATACATTTTTCCCTCAAGGCATAATTGTGCCATTGAATTTTTAAGTATTTGGATATTATACCGTGTATTACATTAATCGATCTGTATCTGCAGTATTTTGTTACTATACAGTACTTTTTACAAAATTATTGTCACATGACATTGGTACCTTTTCCGATATGGACATTTGTCATGAATCATCTCCATTTGTTGTTGATCAAGATATGATCAACTGTGATTGTGATTAATTGTGATTTCTGCCTTTGGGAGAAACTAATCTCAATCTGTGTATATAGCATTTGGATTTAGTCCTGTGTGGAAATAGGGTCCTTCCTTTTAAATTGTTAGTTCATACCTTAAAATATAAAGATTTAAATGGCAGACTTTTAACAAACCTTTTTATTGTATTATACTGTATTTTATTTAATGCATTTTGGAAAACTAAAATGGTGTCTTTCCTTTACAAACATCTCAATAAGGGAAATGAATAATTGCTTTATCTTTGATTTCCCGTAATACTTTTTTTACTCTTAAAGTTGACATCAACCATACGGCTGTCATCAACTGGGATCAATTCCAACCTCATTAAAAGATTATCTATCTTTTAAACCACATGTTTCTCTTCACACATCAGATGGATTTTTGTTCTGTATGCAATACAATGAAAACTTATCAGTAACAAATGTGAGAAACATCACAGAGTGTTCCTGCAGCTGCACTGCAGTACTTCCTATATTTTTCTGCTAACCATCCCTGGAATGCAACCAAAATAGACTTTAGCTTTTAATAGTGTCACATATTAATTAATAATACAGATCAATAATTTTTTTCCGTTGAAATGTTCCTTTTAAGTATCATTCTCAATTCCAATTAAAACATAATTTAGACATTCCTGGTTACTTTTAATATATAATATCAATTTGCATACCGAGAACTGTTCCACAAGCTGTCGTATTTAAAATCATTAGTTTAATTATTTTTGGAAGAGGACAGCTGTTTTGTTAAGGATACATGAACATATTGAACATTACCATAAATCTGAAACTGAAATGACTAATCAGTCTTTCTTGTCATTTGAATAGCACTGACTAGCTAATGTCATTTTGTGAATGTCCATTATATTTGTACGGTACAACAAAAAATATCACATTAATGGCTGAAATTTTTCAAACATCTATCCATTTTGTAACCACTTCATCCATTTCAGGATTGCACGGGAGCCAGAGTCTATCCTGACAGGCAAAGGGCACAAGGCAGGGTACACCCCAGATGGCACACCAGTCTATCGCAGGACAGAAAAATACACAGAGATACACACATTTACACCAGGACCAATTTTCATAGAAGCAAATGAACTTACCAGAACGGCTTTGGACTGTGGGGAAACACAAGGCAACAGGGGGAAAACCATACAAACTTGGCACAGATACTATCTCAGACCCAGAACTGAACCCAAGGTACCAGTGATGCGAGAGAACAATGCTAACCACTGTGCCGCCCTACAGTATATTCTCACATTTTTTTAAAACAAACTATAGTTTAGTTGCAGTTACCAACATGTTCTTTAACAGACAACATGAAATTGCACTTAGTCTACCTGGTGTTCATCTACACAACTGACTTATGGTACATCTGTCCATTAGAAATTATGTTATACGAAACCTCTTATTCGAGCTGGGAGCCATGGAAACCCATGTGTCAAAAAAGACCTTCACAGAAGAGCACAAAAACAAAGGGTGCTTATTTTCTGAAAGAGCTTATAACCTCCTTGAAAATATTATTTTTCAAAAACGAGGTAATGGGTAAGTTTTCTGTATTTTGATTAGGCCTGGGAGAAATATCCTTTCAGGAAACAACAGCTGTTAAACACTCACAAAACACAGAAAAAAATGAACATCCCTTTTCCTTTAAATTGTTCCAGAAACCTCCAGACAATGCTCTTATTAGACAATGAAAATATTTTGCACTTTTGTCACCAGTAAGGAGAAATTATGAACTTGTATTTCAAAAAATATATTTAAAATAAACTGTGGTAAGAATACTTCCTAAACTGAAAGTGTTTAATTTGAACAACAAACCGATGCATAGCCAGACATAGTGATAGACAGAATTAAGATAACTATTCTTTAATAACATGTATGTTACATTCCATATTCTTCAGTGGAACATGTTTTAATCTAACTATAAACAATTGTGTTAAGTTATAACAGGAGAAAAAAAGGAAAGATTATTTCTACTGATACATTAAAAATGACAATTGGGGAACTGTTCATTGAAAGGAAAGGATTAGGTTTTCAAGAATGATTTAAAGAGAACAAGCACACAATCCATTACAAACATCTGCTCTTCTTGCAGCCTTACCTTCAGGGAGCAGATCACTAATTTAAAAAAAAGAAATAGAAAAACTGGAGCTGTAGAGGGAGGATGAATGCCTAAAGCATTTACACATTTGTTCAGGATTCTACTAGGTTCTTAATTGCACCCATAAGACATACAAATCTGTAAGCAAGCTCATAAAACAAAAGGCCTCACATAATGTCGGTGCCCCAAGCATAACTTACAGTATCATCTCAATAACGGAGATGAGGATAGGGGATAATTTACCTGGCTATTGTTTCTTGCCTCAAAATCTGTTTTCCCAGATGCCTTCTCTTCTTTGAGTTTGTGGTAACTTTCTCGTAGAAGAAAGCAAACCAACCACTTGTAAGCTGCCAGTGGAACTGGGGAAGAAATGGCAAACAGTGAGAATAAGCTGTGTAAATAGTGTGCATATTTTACTTAAAATACAAGGACAACCTCACACAAAACTAATATGAAACTTCTGAAATTATGTTTAGCTATAACAGACATGCTGCAAATGTGCCAAATAAGCAGAATTGTTGTAACCTTCAGAAAGGCCTGTTGGTGGACCTCAAAATCTACTGACACAGATGGCCCAACTGGGAGTCTCGTGTACACACATTATTGAAAATACAGTGCAGTTCATAAGTATCTGGACAGACACAATTTTTGCTGTTTTGGCTCTGTACTCCAGCACATTGGATTTGAAATAAAACAATGCATATGAGGTTAAAATGCAGAATGTCAGCTTTAACTCCAGGGTATTTATGTCTATATTGAGTGAACCATATAGGAATCACAGCCCTTTTTATACATAGTCCCCCCATTTCATGGGACCAAAAGTAATTGGACACATTAACATAACCTTAAATAAAATTTGGCAGTTTGCAAATCCTTTGCAAATCGATGACTGCCTGAAGTTTGCGACCCATAGACATCACCAAACGTTGGGTATCTTCCCGGGTGATGCTCTGCCAGGCCTGTAATTCAACCATTGTTAGTTCCTGCTTGTTTCGGCAGCTTTTTGCTTTCAGTCTTGTCTTCAGTAAGTGAAATGCATGCTCAATGGGATTCAGGTCGGGTGACTGACTTGGTCAGTCAAAAACATTCCAGTTTTTGGCCCTGAAAAACTCCATAGTTGCGTTAGCAGTATGTTTGGGGTCATTGTCCTGCTGCAAGATGAAGCGCCGTCCAATGAGTTTGAAAGCATTTGGTTGGATCAGAGCAGATAAGAGGCTTCTTGTACACTTCAGAATTCATCCTGCTGCTGCCATCTGCAGTCACATCATCAATAAAGACAAGTGAGTCGATTCCACTGGCAGCTATACATGCCCAAGCCATGACACCACCTCACCATGTTTCACAGATGAGGTGGTATGCTTTGGATCATGAGCAGTTCCTTTTTTCTCCACACTTTCCTCTTTACATCACTCTAGTACAGGTTAATCTTTGTCTCATCTGTTCATAAGACTTGGTCACAGAACTTTACAGGCTTTTTTACATTCTTTTTAGCAAACTGTAACCTGGCCTTTCTGTTCTTGAGGCTTACCAGTGGTTTGCATATGATGGTGAACCCTCTGAGGTTATGCTGGTGTATTCTTCTCTCTATGGTGGTCTTTGACACATCTATGCCTACATCCTGGAGAGTGTTCTTGATCTGTTCAGCAGTCGAAAAGGGGTTTTTCTTCACGATTGAAAGTATTCTTTGGTCATCCACTACTGTGGTCTGCCAGGTCATTTGCTATTGGTCAGCTCACCAGTACATTCTTCCTTCTGAACAATCTACTAAACAGTTGATTTTGACACACCTAATGTTTTGGCTACATCTCTAATTGGTTTATTCTGATTTTTCAGCCTCATGACGGCCCGCCTTAATGGCATTAACACTTCTTTGGTCCTCATGTTGAAAGACAACAGCAACATGCAAATGTCACATCTAGAATCAACTCTAGACTTTTTGTTAGCTCTCTTGTGCATGTACTAATGATGCAACAACATCATTGTTGTCACTGGGCAGCCAATTGTCCAATTACTTTTGGTCCCCTAAAATGGGAGGACTATGTATAAAAAGGGCTGTGATTCCTATATGGTTCAGCCAATATAGACGTAAATACCCTTGCATTAAAGCTGACATTCTGCACTTTAACCCTATACTTGTAGTTACTGTTTCATTTCAAATCCAATGTGCTGGAGTACAGAGCCAAAACAACAAAAACTGTGTCACTGTCCAAATACTTACAGACTGCACTGTATTCATTATTTATTGTGGGGTAGCTGCATCAGCATGCACAGGATGCAAAGGAACAAGTAATAGGTTTATTCCACGCTGAAAAGAAAAGAGAGAAAACACAACATTTCAGCTATGGAGCCTTCTTTGGGTGTAAGAAAGATAGGGCAGTCAGCAAAGATATTATAGCATGGAAATGTGGATGGTTGAGTGCCTATTTTGTATGTTTTGTGCTTTATGGGAGAGAAATTATTCTATCGTTAGTGTTCATTCTGTTTAATTACAGTTTATACTTCAGTTTATAATGAGATAAGAAAGAGGAAAAATTACAAAGCCTGGCTTTCTCCTGTCGACTATGTTAAAACATGCTAAAAATACTGAACACATCTAAACTCAGTCTACATTGACTCAAGCTTTTATTTATTGGGCGAATGGAGTAATTTGATAATATTTAAGTAATTTATTTTGCAGACTGCTTTGGTCAAGAACACATCTACTGCAAATTGAAGAGTTTACATGGTATTCTGGCAAAGATGATTCTCAAATGATCAATAAGGAAATTACGTCCTTTCATTCTTCACTTCTTTAAACAATAAACATGTGGTCAATTGAACAAAGTGAATGATGAGGCTGACGTGATGGAATTACACTCTTTTTGCAGTACTGGAAGCATATTTTTGTAACATTACGAGAATAGTTTTGTCTCATTGCCTACTGTTTATATTTTCATCACTGACTTCCAACCAATAACACAGCTGTTACGAATAAAGCGGAAGCCCGCTCAGAACTATTGCAGTTAAGGTGGTTAGCCCTTGGTGCAACAGAGACATGTTAACCTTCAGAGCAAAACTGCTCAAAGGTGCCTCTTGATTGTATTCACTTTTTGACATTGTGCTAATCTCATATTGACTTTTAGTGCCATGAAAATATTTAAATAAATATGCATATCTGAGTGGATGTTTTGGACTGAACTGAATGCAAAATACTGTATCACTTTTTATGTTCAGTTTAAATTACAGATGTGGGAGAAGATAAACGCTCACTGCAAAGGTCACTCCACTACAAACTGCATTCTACCGCTGTGTATTTGAAGGAGCTGAAGGCCGAAAGGGCAAAGTACAAACAACACAAACATCCCAAAAATCAGCCCCTGCCCCATCCCATGTGCTGATTTACATTAGCATGTGTGGAGAGATCAACCACAGCTGCAGTGCAGTGAACGGCTATACGAGTACATACAGTAGGAAACAACAGGGAAACAGAAAAAAACACTTCAATAAAGCAAACTTGACAAAAATAAGCTAGTGTATGTTCTCCAAAACAGTGTCTCTCTTAACTAATACTAGAAAATAACAACAAAGAAATGACACCTTCCTGAACAGCTACATTAAACATCACATTACAGTCTTCCATGGCCCAAAGACTCTTTGTCCAAAGCCTAAGCTGGTAAACACAAGCTGCATCTTTGAGGGGTCGCAAGCCCATTGCACAACGCACAATGATGATTTACTGTAAACATGCCAGTCAAACTGGCCGGCATGTCTTTGGAAGATGGGAGGAAACTGGAGCAATTGGACGTAAACTAGGTGAACACAGAGAGAGCATGCAAACTCCTTACAGAAGCCTCCCTAGCCTAGAATTAAATATAGGACCAAAAACCTGTGGAGCAGCAGTGCTAATGGCCACACCACTGTGCTGGCTCATCCATTGCTTCATTATACCTTGTTTTTTTTTTCAGTTAAGACTTACTATTGTAAATTGATCTCTCTTTCAAAGAATGCCTGAATTTATCATCTGTGGTCCAAGATCAGTACTGCACAGAGCAGTACTGATCTCCTACTTATCGTGAAGTGCTTTGGGATCAACGGGGATGAAAGGAACCATACAAATACAATGAATTATTATTATTATTACTACAAAGAATGAACTATTATACTTGAGGAGATCAACACATTAACTTACAAATATCAAACACTCCTCAGATCAGCACAATACCCTTCGCTAAGCAATAGCAGTGACTCACCATCTGTGGTATGATGTTAATAAGTACAACAGATGTTTCACATCTGTGGAAGAGCTCTATCCAAGGTTTATATTTCTTCGTACAACCCTGTCATTACCTTGGAAGTGCCTGTCTTTACACAAAATACATTTCTCTTGTCTCTTCTTACGGGAAAAGCTGTTTTGGTTTGTTATTTTTTTCCCCAAAGACAACGAGGTGAGTTTATCACAAACCCCACCTTGCTACATGTTGGATGTATTAATTAACATAACTTCTTGCCATAGTTTGTTCTGACAAAAAAAAAACAGTTTTAGGAAGCAATAAAAACCTCTTCTATTCCTATTTATAAGGATTGATATCATATTTAAACATACCAAAGTAGATAATGTATCTCTTTTGGGCAGCTCTGACATGATCAATATTAGGACCTCTGTGACCAAAACACATCTTATTTGTTCTCAAACACCACCATTCTCATTGAACTAACATTGATACATTGACGATAGACATTATTTCTAGTCCATTGAGCACAACATTATGTAAATTCTGGAACTGATTAGAGAAAAGTGCTGATGGTTCTGCAATATATACAAAATGGTTGAATATTCTTTTGTTCCCAATCAGGTTTATCTGAAAGGGCTGCTTCAATCCTCTAAGATGTTACAGATATTTAAGTGCTACTTAGAATGTACAGTAAAAATGTTACTAACAAGAGCAGGCCATTTTGCCCATCCAATGCAATTGGTATTTAACAATTTAACAGTATATCTGACAATCTACTCCATCCATTTCCTGGAAGAAACCAGAGTATTGGCATTAACCACATGCCTGAATGTTGTGATTGTGCATCTATTGAGAGAAGTCATTGCAGTGGTGTTGCTTCTCAAATTATTAATGATCATACATTGGCAATAAATATAAACAGTCACGTGCACAATGTATATTAAATACATTATTTAATAGTGTAGTGCCTTCGCTTCAAGGCTTTACTGAGGTTCACCTAAATGACCTGCATTGCCAGAGGGTCTATTCCCATCTTCATCATCTGAAAAAACACAAGCAAAACACTACCAGACAGGAAAGATTTTATGGTTCTGCATTCTCAACTGCAAACCGGAGCACTCCTAGCTTTTATGATAATCTCAGAAGTGAGTGTGGGTGGCATCTGCTTTAAAGACGAATTTTCTCAGAAATAAAAATGTATGAATGAAGAAAATGCTAGAATAACTAGTAGAATATTTTAAGAATCAGCAAGATAAAGTTTGCATAGGAAATCCAATCATCTAGCCTCCCCACAAATTTAGCTCAGAAACCCACAAATGTATTGGATAAGGGTTGAGACTTATCCACAAAGTAGCATAGGTACTTTATTATGTTAAAATTAACAATATTATGAACAAAGTTTACAAGTCATTCTTCTTAACACAATCGTCTTTTTCACTAACAGACAAAAAACGTCTCATTATTTCAGCTACCACCAATATAATACTAAGCACAGGGTTAAGTGGCCTTTTACTAAATGTGTGGCATAAACACATCTGCCCCATAAAAATGCCACCATGGGCATCTGAAAATTCTTTGGCATCTATTTACATTCACTCTTCGCCAAGAAAAGGAAAGGCAGATGTGTAGGTGTGACAGGCAGCAACTAGGTGCAAACTGGCATCCTCACAATAAAGACAATTACAAACAGTGTCCACTCATTACCAATAAACAAAACAACTGCCCCAGCTTTGAGCCAAACCTTGAGGAAGAAATTGGAAATTCTCTTTATTCATTTGGTAAATGTCTTTAATTTAAAGAGCAGGGATATTAGAAACGGGGTTGATTATGGCTCTCTCTTGAAACATAAACACAATATCATTTTCTGGCCAACTACAAACTATACAATAATTGGTCATCAAACAAGATAACATTTACTTAACAATACCTTATCACAAACTCCTTCAAAAAGCATAAAAAAGAACACAAAAAAGAAAAAATACCACAAAACAGAAAAAATACTGAGCAGTTTCTGAACTGTATTTACTGGATATGTTTGTGGCTAGAAAGCTATGGACACTGAAAGCGAATCCACACTGTTTTCCTGTAAATAGGTCAGTAAATACTATAAACAGGATGCAGCCAAACCACAGAGTGAAATTAGTCATTCCTAATTATGCTGGAACAAGACGTTGCAAAGTACTTTGCAAGGCAGCTGTCCATGACAGTTAACTTTGATTTTACAGTACAGCAAAAAGCAGAATTAAAGTCAGTTTAAATGGTTCTGTCCACCTCTGTATTTTAAAATGGCAAGAGTGCATCAATACATTTCTATAATTCTAAGTGACTGTATGATTTTATGACACCTTATACCTAAAGTATGTTACTAGTAAGAGTGCTTCATATGTATGTATTTTTAGTATTTTTTATGAAACATTTTTATAAAACAAAAGTAAAATCACCAACATTCAACAAAGTAACTGCTTACGGCAATATGTTTTAACAATAATTACTTATTGTGGTGGTCACTGATTCCCCTCAGACACCAGACCCTGGGGCAAGAGCAGCTGACCCCAGCAGAAACCACTGTCAGGTCCACAGGAGAGAAAAGGGTGACCTGGAGCGGAGCTGCTCGTTTATCCAGTAACCTCAGAGTACATCCTGTCTACTAGGGGAGCTCTTAAGAAGGAGAACAGAAGCATTGGTGCAACAATCTCTCTAGTTTCAAAACAAGCCCTCGTGCTTTACAGTTTGTTTGGGCTTAGTCCACCATGAAAATCGTTAAAGGCACTGATGTTGGTTCTCTGCATATTGGTGTGTTCAAGTTCTAAAAATAACCTTATTCTACAATATATTCATAAAAATTATATTTTCTGAATAGAAAACCTTTTGATAAATTACAAAAGCTTTTTAGGCTTGTTTTAAGGTCAAAGATCTTAAATGACAGGTCGGAGGAATCTATCCACTTATGAATATACTGTATGCTCATTTTCTGCTGTGTTGGTTGTTGGAGCCAAGACATGAAGAACATGCACTAGGGAGTTCCAAAATCACCCAAAAATATTTATTTTTATTAGACTTTCAAGAGCGGAAATTACTGGTGATTGTTAGGATTTATTTTAAAAAAAATAGTAATTGCAGTACGACAGTATTTCAATAGTGTATTTTTAGTACTTCATGTTTTGTTTACATTCGAAAACATAAATTTTGCCACAATCACTAAAGTATCGTAAAGTACTGCACCCTTTAAAACTACTTAAGGTACTGGAACATGTCCAAATAACATTTACTACTTCTGTTAAAATAACACTTTGCCCAGTTAAAAAGAATCTTGGTGTTTATCTTTGGAGTAAATACAATTAAAATATTTTAAAATTCATCCTTTATAAGCAATGATGGCTGCTTGACTATCATTTTATTCTAAATAGTCTAGATAGAAATTCCAAATATAATACTGCAGTTTATAGACTGTGTCAGTGGGTATAAGCAGATTAATGTGTTTCACTAAAAATATTCCAATGCATTTAAATTCAGAGGTTTAACACAATTTCTTTATACTGTAAGTACATAAGATCAGATGTCAGTTATTATACTACTATATATATAAAAATTGCATACATTGCTTTTTTACAAATAATAACAATTCCTTTCACATTGCTCATATTTCATAAGAGTGGCATTTGTTTGTAAGTTATGGTCTTCATACTAACAAATATACAAATAATATTTATATAACTATGACAGTCAATGTGAGTTACTGCCTAAGAGGAACCAGTTATCAGTTGCTCTGATACCTGCTTAGTTAGTAGCGCTCTTAAGAGCCTTTCCAGCATGTGTGTGAGCTAGCTGATGAGAGGGCCAGTACAGCATACCTGGGAGCTCTGAGGGAGAGCTCCAGAGAAAAGAGCTCCATAAGCATCCAAAAGTTAAGCTGCTGAATAAGAGAGCCACAAGGCTGACTGCGAAGGACCAACTGTATGGGTAATTGGACAACAAGACAAAAAGGCTGCTAAATAAAAGTTCTTTAATCACTTAGAAACTCACTGTAAAACTTTTCTTTTGTGTAAACAAATCAAACAAAACAAAACATCTGTGTTTGGTTGTTTATAGAATAAAAGGCTTTAGGTCGCCGTGAAAAAGAAAATCTCCATCACTTGACCTATTCATCACGAAGCCCACAACAATCATTCTTATTTACAAATAAAAATGATACATTCTTCCTTCTCTGTAACAATCTTAAACATTAAGGTCAACATACCTGTGGATAGGTCTTGTTCTAAATACATAAATTACTCACAATCTGTGTATTTTAACTATCCCAATTTGGAATCATGTCTAGGTCAACCTACAGTATAGCCACGCTCATGCATACAGTATGTACAATACCTGCTGAGTTCATACACTCCTCTTCAGTAGATGCAGAGAATCTGTTACCCAGGATGGTGTTGAAGTCCTCCAAAAAGTTAACAGACCCCAGAGGAGACTCAACAGTTGATTTACCTGCAATCAAAGCAAAACTTTCTAAACTTTTTCTAAAACTTTACTGTGGTGCTGTTAAGCCAATAGAGGAGTCGTCGTTTAGCAGTTATACCAAAGGGAAGCAAGGAATATTCCATGTCAACAGAATGGACAGCATTTTTTCCCTTTAACCAAAACACTAAAACATCTATGTAGCTCCAGACCATATGAAAAATGTGCCCATGGCAGCCTGGGGACTCTGTACACTTCAGAGTATAAATAATAGTATTGTCTTAAAAGTTAATGCAATTGGCTTGTACATCTACCCAGCTCACTGTAGTCCTAATTTATGGTACATTGTATTGTATCAAAATGGGATTTTGCATAAATGTGGTTCAGTTTGCAATGATACAGTGCAGTTCGAAAGTATTTGGACAGTGACACAATCTTTCTTGTTTTAGCTCTGTACTCCAGCACAGAAAGGCCAGGTTACAGTTTGCTAAAAAGTACATTAAAAAGCCTGTAGAGTTCTGGGACAAAGTCCTATGGACAGATGAGATGAAGATTAACCTGTACCAGAGTGATGGAAAGAGGAAAGTGTGTTGAAAAAACAGAACTGCTCATGATCCCAAGCATACCACTCATCTGTGAAACATGGTGAGGTAGTGTCATGGCTTGGGCATGTACGGCTGCCAGTGGAAACAGCTCACTTGTCTTTATTGATGAGGTCACTGCTGACAGCAGCAGCAGGATGAATTCTGAAGTGTACAAGAAGCATTTTATCTGCTCTGATCCAACCAAAACTCATTGGACGGAGCTTCACCTTGCAGTAGAACAATGACCCCAAACATACTGCTAAAGAAAATATGAGTTTTTCAGGGCCAAAAAGTGGAATGTTCTTGACTGACCAAGTCAATCAGCTGACCTGAATCCCATTGAGCATGCATTTCACTTACTGAAGACAAGACTAAAGGCAAAAAGCCCCAAAAACAAGCAGGAACTGAAAATGGCTGCATTACGGGCCTGGCAGAGAATCACAGGGAAGATACCCAGTGTCTAGTGATGTCTATGGGTCGTAGGCTTCAGTCAGTCATCGATTGCAAAGTAAATGCAACCAAGTACTAAACATGACAATTTTATTTAAGATTATGTTAATGTGTCCAAATACTTTTGGTCCCCTTAAATGGGGGGGCGATATATAAAAAGGGCTGTGATTCCAATATGGTTTAGCCAATTTAGACGTAAATACCCTCGAATTAAAGCTGATATTCTGCACCTTTGTAACAGAATGGTTCTTTCCAGACCCTATGCGGACGATCCGGGGGGAGTGAGGAAACACTAGGAAAAAGTCATGCAGGATTCGGGAATGAATACGGGGGGGGCGTGTCCAAAGTGCACAGGTGTCCAGGGGGTTGAGTCCGGGGCAAACAATCCAAGGATGAGATGGACGGAAAATCCAAAAGACAGGGCAAAAGTCCAAAAGCCAGGTGATCCATACGAGACAGACGGGTTTAAAACAGGAACCGAGTCGGAACCGCCGGGAGGAATGGAAACTTAAAAACATGACGGAGCCTGACGAATACAGGTCCCGGGCTCACACGATATGGGAATCAGATGCAGAGCCCCGAACTGACTGAGTGTCTGGCATTTAAGGGGGACGGGAAGGAGGCTGGAACAAGGGGCAAGTGCACAAAATTAGGTCCAAAGTGAAAGAGCCGGAGCGCCCTTAAGGAGGAGGGACTACAATCGTGACACCTTAACCTCATAGTCATTGCTTAATTTCAAATAAAATGTGCTGTAGTACAGAGCCAAAACAACAAAAAATGTTGTCACTGTCCAAATACTTACAGACTGCACTGTATTTAGAGTATGTTATACATTTCCACGAAATGTCTCATATTTAACTGACCCTGATGTTTCATATTCACCCAGCTGAGTAGGTAATTGCTGGTTTGTTGCAGCAGTACGTTGTTGTCTCCTTCATATGTACAGTTCGGGTCATTGTCATTCCTGATATCACCAAGCCGATTCACTAAAAAGAAATAAATCAAAACATTGAGCAGTTTGGAAACAACATATAACATTGTCAAAATGTTTCTCTTCAAATCATGCTTACATTTGCTTTTTGTGCCTAACATTTTGCCTCAGACTTCTAGCAAAGACTCGGAATGTGTTCAGCATTACTTAATTACAGGGAATTAGACATCCACAAGGGAAGACTACGGGAAGTTTATTGTTGTAATTAAGTAAAACAGTAAATAAACTTCCAAAGGTCTGGCAATAAATGATCATGAGAGCACACACATTTATGTTCTTATATATTAAACACCTCATAGCATAACACACGTAGGATAAGTCAAGGAATAAAGTATTTTTTTCTGTTAATAATAATGCATATACGTATGCGATAGAATTATATTAATATAATATTATATGCAGAAAGTGTGATTTGTTGACCACTTAGATGATATTCCACTTCTGTAAGATGGTTGCACCATTAGTGGAAATGGAGGTTTTTGATTGGCGAAAGTACTGAACCAAGTGACATTTATAGAAGAGTCATTGCACAACAGGTTACAGATGTTACAGAATAATGTTCACCTATGGTGTGCATGGTTTAAAAAATTATGATCAAGTACATGAACAACTGTGTGGGCAGCAACTTGTTCTACTGCCACGTGCACAATAAGACCAGTATAAACTTAGTATTTTTGCCATCCACTTCAAAGCAGACTATGACACAGTAACAAGTGCAAAACACTCTATGACACTGAGTACAGAAATGCACACAAAGAACCTCAGGCACTCATCAGCTGTTACATTCTGCAACATGACATGAACCCAGCAAAACTGAAGTCTACCATGCAATGCACTTGATATTCTGCAACAAAGTCTGTTGGATTTTTTGTAAAGCTACTAGATTTGAACAAAGTCCCAGTAGTGGTGGGATAGGAAGCTCTCACCGCCCAAACTAACGTATTTCATTATGTGAGCACCCATTTCCTTGCACAATTAGCATTATATGTGAGTTTTTCTCACCTGTGAAGTGCATAGGAGGAGAAAGTTTACAATTCACTGTAGCTGCTGACTTACTGTCATGGCTGATATGTTCTTATGTTTTGTAACTCAGACTATTTAAAACATCCATCACAAAGGCAAGAAAAGAGAGTTCATGACCCGGTGAATGGTCAGCCCCTTATTTCACTTACTGGCCAAGTAGCCGTGCCCTCCACAGGCTTCTCTGCATTCCTGGATACCGCACTGAGCAGTCCAGGATCCCACAGGCTTGCTGGCACAAGATAAGGCATGGATCTCTCTACCCAATTCTGCCAGCAACTGTTATGTTAAAAGAGGTAAGAGATTAAGAAAAGCACTGTGCTCTGTACAAATACATCTGAAACACAATGTAATACAGTTTGCAGACCAGCCACCACTTGATTTTTTTGTCTGTTGGCTTTGCGTCAGATCATTACTGTACATTTTAGAAAATAGCAAAAAAAATAAAATGTCAAGAGAGTAATAGAGTAGTATGGGTTGGGGGGGTGGGGGGGCACGGAATTTTCAGCAGAATCTCTCCAATTCCACGGAATCAGTTACTGAAACTTATTTCAAATCCAAAACAGCCAAACAGTGGTAATACTACGTAATAATATATAGTACATGTACATATTTAATTTTGTGCTTTGATGAGCAGAGATGTAGAAAATTCTGCACCTATGTAAATTTTTCCAGTGAGTGGCAACATACCGTACAGCAACATGCTCAGTTGCCCATTAGTTTTGAAACTTTGTATCTGAAAGAGTTATTCAATAACGTTTTAAATGTGATTATGTTTTTTGGTTTTATCTTCTTATTCATTAACAACAACTCACCTAAGCATATGGAATACGTCCACCATATTGAGTAGCAGTTAAAATATTTCTATACTGCGTCATAATGTAGGAAATTTTGGACATGGCAAGCATAAGGCAACTTGACAATGTTCAAGACAATATACTTTATGTGTACCCAGCTTCAAGCTGGGAGAAATAGCATTACTTCGGTAACATTCAGGCAGATGGGCAATCTTTGTCTCAGAGTTATTCCAATTGCCGTTCAACTCCTATCATCTCATTTACAAAATAAATTGATTATATGACTTTTTGTCTTAATCTCTAGCCTAAGTACCTTTTAACTGAAAAATACAATCATTAAAATCACTAAAAAATAAGATATTTATGAAAAAAACATCATTAGTTCTAAACAACGGAAAACAAAATCATCATGCTTAAAATTCATTTTTCTATTTATGAGTACAAATTTGGGAGTCCACTCTGGTTGGGAGTTGATCTGGAACACAATTATCCTGCTTATATACATTCCTATGGGGAAATTGTTAATTTATATGGCACCTTCATGAACACATCTGCCACATAAATCAGGAACTACATGTGCATGACTCCAGTAATTTTATTTGCAACTCTATTCAAATTGATCTATTAAAACATGGAAGAAATCTTCCATTGCCTAGTGCTGACCTCCCAAAATAGAGAAACAAAACTTCAGAACAGAACAGAAAAGTTCAAATATGAGCAATAGTTATGATTCCTGGTCTTTATGAATTGATATATACAGTCATAATGAAATATTTTTTTCAGTCTAGAACAGAGGGGACTGAGAGGAGATTTTTTGTAATTATATAGGATTATATAAAATCCTAATGGGTAAAGATGACCTCAACACAGGGGAGTATTTTCTACTCATAACTTCCATTATGAAACATTTTTTTCCAAAGTGTTGTTTAAGATGGAATTCAGAAGATTCAACTACTTACCAAATAAACTTCCTCTCAATTGGAACTTTTTAAATGTTCTTAAGAATTTAAAAGTGCAAAACCCTTTATCTTAAGCATTCTAGAACTTACCTGTCTGTTACTTTTATCGTTCATCATGAGGCCAATCTGAAACTCAACAAAGTTTTCAAACAAAGATTTGGAAAAATAATCCAAGGCAAACACTGCAGCCAAATAGGGAATGAGGCGCCATTGCTGAAAAAAAAATCACCATCATTAGAAATGGATAAAATTAGAAAATTAGGTAGAAAGCGCTATTTTTTCCTTTCTGCATCAGACACATGTGTTGTGTATTTGCTAAAAAACATACTGTACGTTTACACATGTACCTGTAGTTGATATTCCAATACTGGTATCTCCTCATCATCCTTGGGCCCAAACTGCCGCCTGGTTGCAGAGAAGCGAATTGCTATCGACATAGCAAGCTTCAAATTAATAACCCCCATTCTAGCAATGGATACTCTGCCCCCTGATAATGCACCAAGCGACGCACCAAATCGCTTATTTGGGTCCTTCAAGGCAAACACAGAATTGTTAAAAAATGTGCCAAAAATGGTGAAAAAAACATTCATTATTGAAATGGTAGCTGAAAATTTCCCGCATTTACATCTCGATGTGTTATGATCTATTTAAAGCAAAGAGAACATATTATAATATGCAAATATAGGGTTTGTGGCAGGCAGACAACCGAAACACCGTCTGAGAGGAGAAGCTGTTGATCCTCCTGATCCTGAAACCTGACAGCTGTGCTCCTCTCTATTTTAATATGTACTCCCACTTAGCAGGTGCACTGTAGCCAGTGGCAGGGTGAGAGACACTACATACAAGGGTTGTGCAAGAGAGCCCAAATTTGAGAGATAAAAAGCAAAGCAGTGGAAGACCAGAGAAAGAGCCACAAAGACCCCACTACTGAAGCAGCCCAAAATACTGACAGTGGCTTGTTTTGTAAAGTGAGGATATTTTTTATTTTGGAAAGAAGAAAAGAGTGCTGCCATACTGTTCCACAACCTCTTTGCCCTCTCTCATTTTTCCAGCATTTTATATTAAATTTTTTAACGACTCAAAATGTGCTGTATACTGTATATGTTGTATTGGATTTCAACTATTTTCTTTTCCATTTCAGTGTGGATAAGTACTTGTTTTCAGAATCGATACAATAAGTAGTTACTGAATTTGTTTGCTTTCCACTTCCATTAAAATTCTTTAAAAAACACCCCTCGCCCACTCTTGACCCCTTTCTGCCTAAGACATCAAAATAGAGCATTTGTTTTCACCTTGAATGGAGTGACATAATAACCTTCAGGTGTGACGTCTCCTGTTTTGTTTAGTAGGTTTTCCCGGGGAATTCTGACATTGTGAAACACTGCAAACCTGTAAAATAACAACAAGAAAAGTCAAAGTCCAAGCCTCTTTTCTGAACTCACCTACTGTACACACCTGACTTTTTATGAAAAAATATCACTTTTTATTAAGCTCAGATCATGGAGTACCAAAACAAATAAGAAATCCCAACTACTGTATGTAAAATGATCAAGCCAAACCAAATGGCTATATTGGTTATGTTGTGATGTATCTCAATTAAACCGCTTGCTAATTTAAAAAACTGGAATCACTGGGACATAATCCACTAGAAAGGCCCTTTTAAATCAAAGAAGTGGAATACTTGAAACTAAATGTATTAAACAAAAGGTTCAACACAGGACAATTCAGAAGCTTAAAATGGGACTTCTAAAGGTTGAGCAGTTTATGAGCAACAGAGGCAAATCTGTTGGAAATACATTGTGCAGAGGACTTTGCGAGACAGAACCACGCTGAGGAAAGACAGTGAGCAAACAAGGGCCAGACAACAGTCTGCTGCAATCTGGAAGAAGGCAGGAGTCACGTCATCTGTCAGCACAACTGACATGGAAAATTTCACCATCACAGCTCTTCCAAATTGGCACACAGCTGAGCACAATAGCCTTAGGTAACAGAACATAAAAAGTGTGCATGTTCTCCAAAATGTTAAAAGGCTTAATGAAGCTAAATTTGTACACATAAGCTAAAAAAAATAAGTTCAAGTCATTATCACAAATTAAAATTCCATATGAAAACAACAATTTTTAATGAAAAATCATAAAATCACCAGATCATTAAAAGTACATATATAAACAGTATATAAAAGTAGGGCATAAATTGCAGTTGTTGAAAGTTAAAGTTGTTAAATTAAGGGAACATGAATTGCATATAAGTATGTGTTTGCAATGGGAATTGACAGGTTTAAAATCACCACTTACTTATAAAATTCCAAACCCCTGCTGTTCACACAAAATATTTTAGGACACATGCAGCCCTCCAAATGTAATGGGACAGCAAAGTCCAAGCTTATCTTTGCTTTACAGTCAAGCAATTTGTTCGTGTATTTATGAGATTAATATAAATGATACGTACAATATAACTTTTATTTTGCCTATTTTCATATACAGGTACACATATGATCACATTAGAACAAATACATATTTTATGTTCAACCAACTGATGTTGTAAGTGATAAGTGACCATTAGTACTGGAACACATCCACTTTAAGTAAACTTGTAAAACTCAATATTTGGCTGCATACCCCTTTCAAGTTTTCAGTACCAGAATGAAACATGAAACATGAGATGGACCCACTGACCACACCATCTAATTTGAGATGCTTTGCTGCAGCCACTTTGTCCCTTCTGGGATTTGAACAAACACCTTACCCACCATGCCACGTTGCTACCCCAGTTTTGATTAATGTGTTCTTTTAAAGAGTAGTTAAAACCCTTCATTTCCTCTCAAAGCTATGTGATCATACACACGGATACAGTGCATACATACAGCAGGTGAAGAAATCTTTCATTACAACCTTAAAAATTGTCAAAGATTTCACTCAATCAATTATTCTCGCTTGCATAAAGGACAAGTACAGATTAATATGAAAACACCACCTCATTATTCTTCACCAGCATACAGCTAATTCTTGACACCAGTGACTAAACATTACAGTATATGAAATTTATTTAAAATATATATGTCTACATCCTCTTTGCTTCCTGTGGGGATTTTAGTGCCTAAGTGGTTGGTGTAAGTCAATACAGGTAGTAAAGAACATTTATTACAAAGTAGAATAAATGTCTTGAATGGAATTCATGTTTTTTTAATTGATTTAACTTAGTTAAACGATATACCATTGATCTGACAAATTCTGACAATATGATTTCTAAGGTGAAGTGTGATGAATGTGCATACTTGTGAAGTCCCATTATCCCTTTCATTGTCAAATTGTAAATACTTGTGAAGTCCCATTATCCCTTTCATTGTCAAATTGTAAATTCTGGGAATACTGAATTTATTTGTCCATTTACACACAGCATTTTCTGCTGTTTTAAGGTTTGCAGAAAGAAATATAGCCAGTGAAGGACATAGAAAGGTTTTTTTCATTTAGTGTTATAGATCTACATACCACTATTATATTTTTTAAACATGTTTTTTATTTATTTATTCTGTAGAATTCTGTATTTTATGTAATTGGTCTTGGTAGATGTTTGGTGCCCTGTTTTAATAACCATTTTCTTATCTGCCCACACTGTCCCTGTGAACACACAGAGCAAGAGCTAAGTGCCACCTAGTGGAAGAATGGAGTGCTTCACAGACTAAACCTACTGGGAGTATATTTAAGAATGATTGTGGAACTCTTTCACGGGTACTGCTGAAAAATGTTTACATTCATTTTGTATAAAAGGAACTACTAACTACTACTAAGGAACTACTAAGCATGATCACAGAACTAACTTTTTTATAGTCCACAAACATCACATTAAGATGTTTGTGGACTATACACAAACACACAACAATTATGTTCAAAAGGTTAAAGAAAAATATTTCACAAAATTGTAGGTGAAAAAAATAAGGCACTGGCAACAAACCTACGTGTTAAGCTTAGTCTGTTATGCTAGTCACACTAGACATAAATAATACAACATTTGTTGTAGTCATGGAAAAAACTGTATACTGTGTAAGTCTGTACCTAATTTGAAAGACCAATTTAACAAATAACCAACCACTTTGCCAGCTGTCAAAATACAATTATAAACACAATCCTAGTTGCAAATAACTGTCCTTATCACACATTTTTCTAGCTCTATGGCTATTTTTACTATCTCTCATCTTGGAAAGTCACTCTGGCAGCCAAAGGAAGTGTATCTGTTAAAGAGCATACGGCCAGTTAAAGCTTTTGATTAGATAAGCCACCCATAAACTCAGGGATATTTAACTAGATTACAGACCCAACTGAGCAAAATCCAAGTTTATGGAATTTCCCCAGAAATAAACCAGCAAGCCCATATCACCAACGCAGCCTTTAAAAAGACAGACAGCATACATTAGGTACTGAATTGGACAGAGTGACTTATAACCAATCTTCACCACTGGAAACCACATTTATGAACAAAAACCTATAAAATTGAAGGGACTAAATCTGGGGCAAGGTGCTGTATTTTCATATCCTTCAATCCCTTTCCTTTTTAAACACCACCAGGCAATTCTTCACCTTCATCTTCTTTGTGAAGCACTTTATGTTAGTCACAGAACAATACCTCCTTTTTAAGATAAACATTTACATAGTCTTATGTATTACTATGACGATTTATGTTCACTTTCTCTATGAAATAAGGTGGTCAAGGTTAGAGTTGTAGCCTGGAAGGCTGTATTTAATTGGCCGAGCTCTAGAACTCAATCCAACTGCAAATTAGTTTTGCGGCTTGTTTGTAATTTGTGTAACACCTGTCTCTTATGCTATCGCCTGTTTATTTAATTGCTTCCAGAAAATTAAAGGAGCCACATAATCTCACTTGATACCTGTATGGAAGTATTATTATTTAACTTCTATAAATTGCTTGTACTTCAGTTGGTATCAGGATTATCACAGTATTTTGACTTAAATTAATAGAGCATCAGAAGAAACTCATCCAAGTTCAAGTCTTATTAGTGTGTCTTGGTCAGTCATGATCCATCAATTAATCAAAACGATGCCAATAATTGAAACAACATCTAACATTTCTTATTAAAAGCATGCACAGAGTGATATAGTTTCTTCAGATATTCAGCGTATTGCCTGTATCTATTATCTTGTAATCTGTTGTTATCTATTCTTTACTATAAATGCCAAAAATCTTTAACTCATTAACAGCCCCTATTTATTACAGTAGATATCCTAAACACAAATCCATAAAGGAGGTCCCTCAAAAAAATGTGAAAAACAAATTTTATGTTACTATACACATTAAAGCAAAACCCGAAAAGTGTTATTCCACCTTCAAAAACCTACAAACTCACCCATTGTCCAGGCCATTCTGTCCAAGCTTTTTTCCCATATCTCCAACCATCACACCTGGCATGGGAAGAAGGGTCTTTGGGTCTCTAACCTACAGTATTTGGAATTAGAGAACAGATTCAGTTATCATAAATTCCAGCATGACTGAGATTCTGGTATAGTAAGTTACTAGTCTAGATTGCAGATGATACCAAAACAGGAAATACTACAGGGACAGAAAAGTTTCAAGAGTGGGAAAACACCTGACAGAGTACATTTAATGTAGACAAGTGCAGAGTACCACATGTAGATTCTGCAGCAAAAGCACATTGTAGATATACTGTATAATGGGAAACACTGAGGTTCAAGAGTCTACTTATGAAATATAACTATATAGATTAAAGCGTATAATTATTGTGTTAAAATTTGAAAAGCACTAGCAAGACCTCATTAAGAATACTGTCTACAATTTTGGTTACCACTTTACATGTTGTTGGTTTAGAATATACCCGAGAACCCACAACTTGATACACCTATGGACTAAAGGAAATGTCTTGCACTTACAGACCGGAGAAAATCAACATTTTTGTCTTCTGTCTTAAACAGAAGACTTAAACAAGGGGACTACAAGTATCAAAAATGCTTAAATGCACTGACAAAGTCAACTCACTGGACTTCTTCAGAATCACAAATCAAACATTAACTAGTGGACACATGTGGAAACTATGTGAAAGTGCATTTAAAACCGAGAAAAGGAGTAACAACTTTACACAAAGACTTGTGGTAATACTGAACAAGCTGATACCCTGACTTCTTTCAAATAATGGCTAGATGAGATCCTTGGATTGCACAGCTACTAGGCTAAGAAGCCTAGGAAGGAACCTGGAGGAGATGCAAGTGGGTGCCTCCATGATCTCATGGATCACTGACTATCTGATGGGCAGACCACAGTTTGTGAGACAGTAGTGAGTAACACAGGGGCTCCTCAAGGGACAGTTCGTTCTCTGTTCCTCTTCACCCTCTATACTTTGGACTTTAAGTACAACTTGAAGTTGTGCCTCCTGCAGATGTTCTGAGAGGACTGCAATTGTGGGATGTATTGAGGGTGGGAAGGAGGAAGAGTACAGAGGAGTGGTCAACAGCTTTTTGGAGTGGTGTGGGGAGAACTACCTGCAATTGAACGTGGCAAAGACGAAGGAGTTGGTGATAGACTTCAGGAGGAAGAGGGTTCAACCTACTCCTGTCTGCATCCATGGGAGTGGCGTGGAGATAGTAGACTCATACAAGTACCTGGGAGTGCACATCGATGATAGACTGGAATGGACTAAGAACATGGAGGCCATCTACACAAAGGGCCAGAGCCGACTTTACTTCTTGAGGAGGCTCAGATCCTTCAATGTGTATAGTAAGATGCTTCATATATTCTATCAGTCTGTTGTAGCGAGTGCCATTTAATCAAAAAAGCAAGTTCCGTCATTGGGTCTGATCTGGACCCCCTGGAGGTAGTGGCTGAGAGGAGAATGGTGAGCAAATTAATGGCCATCATGGACAACGTCTCTCATCCCCTCTATGGCATGCTTGTGAGAATGAAGAGCACATTCAGCAATAGGCTGATCCAATCATGGTGCGACAGGGAGCGCTACAGAAAGTAATTTTGCCTTCTGCCATAAGACTATATAACTTATCCACTGTGTGTGGGAAGGGGGAACATTGACCTGTTTTTGGACTAAACATGAATTCTCTGTTTACAGCTGGTTTTCCTGTTTACAACTGATTTTTGTGCAATATATTTATAATGTGCAATTAAACCTTTTTTGTTTGTACTGTACATTCTGGTTTGTTTTGTATCTTCTGTACTGTGAACAATTCTGTATACTCCTTTTTTTTTACTTTTTACTGCACTTCTCACTGTCTACTTACTGTATTGTATTGTGTATTATTGTATCATTTCGTTACACTGTGCTGTGTTGACTGTGCCAGGCTGCTGTTGCACTGCAATTTCCCTTATGGGATTAATAAAGTATCTAACTGCCAACAACTGCCAGAAATATCTTTGTAATAAGTTGACAGATGTCAGAATTTCCCTCTATACCACAACCTGAAAAAGGTTTAACGCCTTCTCTCATCCTAGCGTTAATCCCACATCAGCAGGGTCTGCTTGTAGGAACGCTCATCTCCATTTGGTGGTTTGAACCAAATCTTTGAGCTGACGCTGTCATTAAATGCAACCGAGAATACTCCAACCGGCACGTTGCTCCACCTGCTGTCGGAGTGGGGGGGGGGGGAGGAGAACAAAGTAATGTAGCCAATTTATAGAGGAGGATTATTAGGAGGCATTAGGAGTTAGGAGGCATGGGAAATTTGGCCAGGACGCCGGGGTTACACCCCTACTCTTTTTGAGAAACACCCTGGGATTTTTAATGACCACAGAGAATCAGGACCTCGGTTTTACGTCTTATCCGAAAGACGCTTGTTTACAGTATAGTGTCCCTGTCACTATACTGGGGCATTAGGACCCACATGGACTGCAGGGTGAGCACCCCCTGCTGGCTTCACTAACACCTCTTCCAGCAGCAACCTTAGTTTTTCCCAGGAGGTCTCCCATCCAGGTACTGACCCACACCTGCTTAGCTTCAGTGGGTTGCCAATTGTAAGTTGCAGAGTGACATATTATTCCAGAGCAGGAATACCCTTACTTGTTATGGTTATTTGCTGGGAGGTCTTTTATTTTGATGAGTAAGTGTAGAATACTTCTGTTGTGCTAATGCAAGCAGTGCTCTGCCCTTGCCCTTATATGATTCGGGTCTCTTCATTTCATCAATAAAGAAGATGAATGACTAACATGCTAAAACATTCGGCAATCTGAAATTATCCTTCCAAGTAAAACAAAAGTGCCATTTTCTTACCAAATAATTAAATAATGGTGTTAGAAAGAGTGTGCACAAATAATTTATACCTGCACAACAAAGGAATGCAGCCCATGACAAAGTCCATCAGGTGTAAAGAGCTGAGCAAATACCACAGCATGTGTTGCTGTCTTCCCAAGGTTTCCAACCCAAAACTTAGCTGCCTCAAAGTCTGGTGAATTTATAATGAACTCCTAGAAGAATTGGAAGACAAAAATCATTTTTGCTGAAAGGGATTTTAGTTTGAAGAATATACAATCAAAGACGACTCTAATAACAATAAACAAGGTTAGAAATACGGTGTATCAGCTTTTAATCATTTAAAAATGTGTTTCTCATTTGTGTTAATTACTTCACTGTTAGGACAGTATGTTGCAAAAACAGTCTTGTTTTTTACATAATTAACACTGCAATGTTCATCAAGTCTGCTAAAAGCAGCCCACTTCTTTGAAAATGACAAAACATATTTAATAAAAGCTATCCTGAGATAGCAATAACAGCAACAGATTTAAGGCTACGGAAATTCTGCTCTAAGCTGCTATTTATACAACAACTTCAATTAACAGTACACTGTATTCATGATTTCCTGTCCCCTTCTTATGTGGCTATTTTTAACTGATTCACTCTGTATAATTTTATAACCTTGATTCTTTGTGAATGAATACTTTTGAAACCCTATTTCGGCTGAATACAGGTGTAAAGAAATATACAAATTTTAGAGAAGCAAGATATACAAGTCTACATATGAAAACATGTAAAAAGGCAAAACACAATAACACAACAGAATCTCAGTACATATCACTCACAACTACCATTTTTTCTCCATATTGATTTAATGTGGTACTGGTTTTCACTTTCTTGTGAATATACAGGCTGTATACAAATAATTTCCAGAGTTATTTCATGCAGATTATATTCTATTTCCTTTTATCTCAGTGTTGTACTAGAATTGGTGATTCGTAACATTCTCGTCTCGTCAGCCCCACTCTGAAGTGGTGGGGCGTGCTGCAGCTGTTGTGGCTGTAGACCATACTTCTACCCTCCTGCCTGTCTTGCCCTGATTGCTGAGGAGACAGGATATTCGGAGCACCTGGCTGTTGTGAGAAAACACACAGCACCAGGTGCACCAGATTACTTAAACCCCGCTCAGCTTCTCCTCAGCAATATGGTATTACTTCATTCCCAATCCACAAACATGGCGGCTCCCAGCGGAGACTTCTCTGCTCCTGATTTCCTGCTTCCTGAGTCCCTTGAGCCTCGTCTGTCGCTGTACCTTCCAGAACTGGTCCGGTCTGCCAGGTGAGGCTGTGTGGCCCAAGTCCTACACTTGATCCTCAGGGGGCAGGGTAGTTCCAGGCAAACCCTTCAGGAGATCTTCAAGAGAAGATCACCCTGACAGCCCGTGCCCTTCTCAGCCCTGTTCCTGCTGAGCCTGCAACTGATCACTCCAACGACCGGTGCCCTGTCCATCCCAGCTCTGGGTGCAGACTCTCCATCCCCGCCTGCACTCCTGCCCAATGACTGATCTCTGCTTTAGCCTGCCTCTCCCTTGTCCTGACCTGTCACTGGGACTCTGAACCAGACCTGGACAGCGTGCACTGCTCGGTCTGTTCCCTGGAGCGCCTGTCCTGTCCACCCTGACAGTGTAAGCTTGGCCAGGTTTCTGGAAGAGACCCCCCCGAGACTGAGCTCCACAGTGGAGCTCCCCAGCTCCAGGTGCAAACCGATACTTCTCCATCCTGTTTCCTCCCCTAAGAAGCTGAGTCCATTTTGCAGGGCGCTGCCCACTAGCCCTGGACTATGATGCCCTGGTTCTTGGAACCACCACACTGCCTTGCTCCCCCACATACTCTTAATAATAATAATAATAATAATAATAATAATATTATTATTATTATTATTATTAACAATAATTGCTTACACTTATATAGTGCTTTTCTGGACACTCCACTCAAAGCACTTTACAGGTAATGGGGACTCCCCTCCACCACCACCAATGTGCAGCATCCACCTGGATGATGCGACGGCAGCCATAGTGCGCCAGAACGCTCACCACACATCAGCTATCAGTGGGGAGGAGAGCAGAGTAATGTAGCCAATGAACCCAATCCTCATATAGGAGGATTATTAGGAGGCCATGATTGGTAAGGGCCAATGGGAACTTTGGCCAGGACGCCGGGGTTACACCCCTACTCTTTTCGAGAAACGCCCTGGGATTTTTAATGACCGCAGAGAGTCAGGACCTCGGTTTTACGTCTCATCCGAAGGACGGAGCCTGTTTACAGTATAGTGTCCCCTTCCCTATACTGGGACATTAGGACCCACATGGACTGAAGGGTGAGCGCCCCCTGCTGGCCTTACAACCACCTTGCTCTTGGTGAGAAGCTTGCTGTAACAATCCTAATATAAGATGCAAAAGTAAGGTAATAAACTAAATAAATTAAAAGCTGTAAGATACTCAATGATTGATACCACTTACAAACCTGAGTGGCAGGGTCGTATTTTGCTGTTGTCCTCATAGCTCTCGTATTGCTACCATGACTCAGCTCTGTCAGAGCAAAGCATCCAAATGTCTAGAGAGATGATTACAAAAGGCACAGTTTAGAATGCACAGACTTATTAAAATTAAATGTCAACGTACTTCAAACAAGTACAATCTGAGGCAGAACAGAGAAAAATGGATTGTTTATGGATTGGCAAGGCTTTATGAGACTGTTCTCAATTACATAAAAGTGGGCGTCATTCTGAGGTGAGTGCTTTGATTTGGTGTCAGATTTCCAGCAGCACAAACCTCTCCAGAGGCCTAGAATATTACCACAAAAATCGGGTATATTGCTCTGCTATTGCATATGTCCTGCACAACTCTCCTGATGTTTCTCCTTATTTCTTCTTAAGAGTGATTTGCTACTATTATAACAAAAAGGGATCTGAAATCTATAAAAGAAGAAAATAAACTCATGTTATCCCTTATTCTGCATATCTTTATATGAGGAATTTATATGTGAAAGCATGACATCACCCAACTGGAAAAAATAAATTCTAGTATGCAAGTGACACGTAAGACAGTACACGTAACAAGTATGGAAAACAAGGTAATAAAGAATATTTTAACTTCGTGAAATTTAACTGTTATTTCATTAAAATTAGTTGTTTGGGGATGAACTGATAAGAACTGCACCTAGATCAAGGGGCAATATGTGCACAGCAGAAAGCAAATAAGCAATGACCTTTGATATGCGTGGCATTACAATAATGAATAAAAAGACACAAATAAAAGGTTCACATTTTCACTATGATGGGAGCTCATGCCTTTAAAAATCACAGTTCATGAACGCAATAATGATCGTATTAAACGGAGTAAAATGCAAATCTAGTTATCTTACCGTCATATCCTCTATATCTTTCACAAACGGCTCATGTCTCTTTGATCCAGAATTGGCTACTGTTGCACCGAACATCTGAAACATAAACATGTTTTGTATTCCGCACTTAGCTGTCCTAATGCGCAATTTTATGAATGTTGTAATGCTTCTATAATAATCACTTTTTGTGCATATGAAATTAAAATGGCGTGAACTGAAAATCTGATGAAAACGTTCATTATTAGTTCCATTCCTATATTACTGTCTTTAATATGTCACTATAGCGAGAATTGTAAAATTGTTACAAATTATTGTGTGAAGCTGAATAGAGTTCAAAAACAGTAAATAGCTTTAACTTGACTAATGTATAGGGCAAGGTAGAGGATAGTGGAGAAAATGCTATAGAAAAAAAGATATTTGTTTAGTAAGGAAATTCTAGAAACCAGTGAAAAACCTGGCTGATAGAAATATTGTATCAGCTTATCTAGATACAATGTTTCAAGGGTCACAGGCACATGAGCATAACATACATGTGACCTTTGTAGAAGCAAAAAGCATTCCCATATGAAAGAACACACCACAGATTGTTAAAGAATACATATCTTTCAAATGCGGTTCAAGTTTCTTAGTACGGATAAGCGTAAAGTTTATAGGCTGTGTTCTACCCATATTAGAGTACATATGCCGACATTAATGCTGTGAGGGTCTATGATGATTTGGGGTGCACTTTTATAGAAATGCAAAACTTCCCATTGTTCTAACTTTGCTCATTATCAATGTAAGCTGAGACTCACCCCTTTATTGAGAAAATATTTGGAGGACAGAGACCAGTCATACATGCCTAAACAGTCATTGAGAGCAATTGTCTTCAGTGGGTTCTCCATGACTTCCTGGGCTGTGAGAAAGTCATATTTAAAAAGCTGTTTACAGCGGAAGAAAGTCATTTCACGCTGCCTCTCCAAAGACAGATCTTCACCAGGCTGACGGGCAAACAAAGGGTCATTTTCCAGAGCCCTGAAAACCTTTTGCTGTGAAAAGAATTAAAAATACCATATACTACTGTAAATGGATTATATTCATTGATGATCAATACATAAAGTTTTTGTTAAAACAGAACTAAGGTGAAAAGAAGTCCTATAATAAGGAGCCTTCATGAACTGTCCTGATGGCTGAAATTCAATGCCTCAAACAGCATGACTTTAAAGCAGTCAAAGAAAAAGTGGACATGCTACATGCAGAAGAGTATGGAAGACCAAAAACAATATTAATTTGTAAAATTGATTCTATGATGTACGTCTCTTAACAAGGACAAATTCAAAGACTGAATCTTAAATTGGATTATGTATGTGGTATTCAACCTGCCCATTTACTTAAAACATCAAAAATAATAGCAATCATTTAGCAATGAATGTCAATGAATTTTGAACGTCAAACAAATCCATACCTTGAAAGCTAATATTTCTTCACCGTCAAGATACACAACCATTTCTTTCCAATCAAAAGAGGCCTTTTTTCGATAAGTATCCAATGGCCCACTGGGAAGATCAGATAGATCGTACCCTGCACCATGCTGGGTAATCCCGATCCCTGTGTTATTTTGTACACTCATGTTTCTAATGATACTTCAATTCCTGAAAAGGAGAAATTTTTATCACAAATTAATTTCTTACACAACGTAATTATATGACATAATTAAATCACATTGTTGACAATTATATCAGGAACCAGCAGTTCCTAATCCTGGTCCAGGAGAAAAGCTGCATTTTCTAGTTTTTGATACTGCTGAGTACTGTACTTAACCACAGTCTAATTGATTTCACTTTTCTATCTGGTGTGAATTTGCTCATAGTTCCTACAAGGTCAAACAGGTTTGTTACTGCTATCAAAAGCTGAGTGTCCGAACTGCCCGTTGTTCTGTTGCATTGCATGAAGTACTGTATAACGAGTTGGACCAAAACAGAGGGGAGAACTATCTTTGTGGATCTATGATACAGTCTTACTCAAATCATACTTTGACGGTTCATCATCAGTTTATCAACTAGTTAGAGGTATTATAGTGACATCGTCCAAACAAACTAATAGATCAATTAAGGCACTTAATCAGAACAATTGATCAGCAGATTGTTTCCCTCCAGGAACAGGTCGGGACCTACTGACCTACTGACCTAAATCTAGAATTCTGAAAACGTTCATAAATCAGTTAAAAACATTTGAAAACTGAAAGTAATAATAGTGAACTATAGCACTACATAATAATACACGTTGTGGAACAGACACGTTTCCCAGATCTGCAGCAGAACTTCAAAAATAAGCAGAATCAACATATTGTCTTTTCCAACTTCTTAGTAGCTCGACTGACATTGTTTTCGGGACCTGTAGAGTTGCAGTGTGTGTAACACACATCAGTGGAGAAAAAACTTTCAGTGTTTTAGCTGCACTGAAATTCAAGAGAATAGCTTAAATATACAGTAAATGTCTTAAGTAAAACCACCTGACGCGAAGAAAAACTGCCCGACTCAACTCCCAATAACCCAGCTAACAGCTCTTATCAACAGCTACATGAAATGGAGAGATATTTGCACAATATGTATTTGGCAGTTTTAAAGTTTTCTGTTCTTGAAAAGAGTCGTATACTGTATATACAATATATATATATATGTGGATCTGCGCCTCTGCCTGGAAGGTTGCCGGTTCAAATCCCGCGGCTGGCATAGGAATCCTACTCCGTTGAGCCCCTGAGCAAGGCCCTTCACCCCAACTGCTCCAGGGGCGCTGTACAATAGCTGACCTTTCGCTCTCACCCCAAGCTTCTCTCTGCCTGCGTGTCTCATGGAGATCAAGCTGAGGTATGCAAAAAGACGAATTGCTAATGCAAGAAAGTGATCTTATCTTATATCGATTCACGGCATTTAAAAATAAAGACAACATGTGTATCAATTCATTATACTGTATGTCTCAGTAAAACGTTTTTAACATCAAAACACCGCCTCTGTTTGTCTTACCTTTCTGTTACAAACAACGACACAGTTGCTCGTCAAAGAATCGTCCTGTTTGTCGCTTTCTCGGTGCGATAGTCCTTTTACCCCAGAGCTTGCTGCCCTAACTTTTTACCCTTTGTCACACACAGCTTCTTCATACAGTGTTATAAGAGTGATAATGACAACACATAATGAAAGCTGTTAATTTAATGTTTCGAGCGTGATTCAAGAGGAATCTTGAAATATATAGCTGTGTAACAAAAACATTACTGGTAAAATAAAATTAATATAATCGACGAGTGACGACTAAAGTTAAAGACGAACCGGTGTTTGTGCATGTCGTCATCACTATGCGCTTGGTTTCTCGCATCAACAATGTGAATGGATGGACGCAAATTAAAATGTCCAAACTTTCAGAATTAAAATTTAAAGACTCATGTGGGTCTCTGCCCGGTGGTTTTTGGTCGGCTGTGGATGTTTGGATAAAGAAACCTCATGTAGTAAATAAAAGACTGAGTGGAGCCAAAGAAGAAGAGAGTAAGGATTGCGAAGATGCAGAGATAGAAGATACTTTATCAGGATTTTGGAATACTGACATTAAAGAACTAAACGATGTATTCTGCTATCTAAGGAACGGTGTTGAAGGGATCTCACAATACCGTACTGGAAAAAGAGAACAGTGGAGTTTTACAACAAGATCGGTAATTCCTAAAGTCAGTATTGATGGGACTCGCTATCATAAAGAATTTGTAGTGAAAGGTAAGACCAGCCATGAAATCTTTTTTTTTCACTGTATATTTGAAAGAAAGAGAAAGGCGTTTAGCATCTTTAACTCAAATACTCAATACTCAAAAGTTCAAATACTGCGCCCACTCACTGTCTTTGCCATTTAAACAGAGTTTCAGTTTCAGTTAGTAGGGGTCCGTACCAATACATAAATAATAATACAAACAAATTAAAGAAACTAAATGCACAGTAGGGCAGGAGAAGCTAAAATTTAATCAAAGGACAAAGTACACCATACATAGAAAGTACATGTAATGGACTGTGCAATGAATCTATACATTTGGCTCTAGCGCTATCGTCCCGTATGAGAAACCAAGTTCTTAGCTGAATAAATCCGTCACAATCAAAACAACGTAAATCCTTACAATAATTTGAGATAGAACATTCCGTGCCTCTATAGGCAAACAGGAAAACTTTAAAATCCACTCTTAATTTTCACAGGGAGTGAGTACAATTTACATGGGATGACATTCATGTCCTGACGCGAGGTCTTTTATTTAAGGCTACTGAACTCAGGGCCAAACTAGCCTATTTTGTATTTTACAAGATACAATAGTAAGGTGTGAGAGTAGTCTAATCTTGATATAATAGAGGCATCTGTCACCATTTCAGTTTCAGATAGGCAGAGTGGGGTTTATGCTGGAAGAAAGATACCTTTTTGAAGAACACGTCTTCCAAAAGGAGCAACTAAATCTCTAATAAACAAAGGTTTGATTTCAGCAAGGTCAAAAACTACATTGAAATCTGGAACTTTGCAATGGGAGTTTATGAGTTTAGTTTACAAATGTTCTATTACGTCTATATGTCAATCTCAAGTATACACCTGTAATTTCCAGAAATTATACCAGTATTTGTTTTAAATTTGTGTATCAGCAGCGTAGTTGTGGTACTCAAGTCCTTGATGGCAAATAATCCGATCAAGAAACCACATGGAAATAATAAAAAGTAAAGGTCCCAGCCTAGAACCCTGGGAAAACCCCTGGAGAAGTGGAACTACATCGGATTCGAAAGAGTTTTCATCATTGGCTTCTGGCTGCCAAATCTTTTCCTTGTAATCCAGTGGGATGCTGGGATTAACAGTATCAAATGCATACTGGGGTTATAGGATATAGCAGACCCAGAGTCTGAAGCCATTATCACATTACAATAAGAGGAGCTGTTTCAGTGCTGTATCTTTGTCTAAGCCCTTTATGAAATGGTTCAAGGAGCTCATTAGATGATAAAAGTACTACATGAAGTCTGGTAATAATTTTTCCACAAATATGCTATGGTTTATATACATTTTTCTGTTGTCATCTTGATCATAATACTGAATCTTTACAGATCTCTTTAGCATGCGGGTGACATTTCTGCCAGTAGCTGAAAGCGTTCAAGGATTCATGGTTCTTAAAAAGGGCAATATTTATCAGATACAGCTCCGACCAGATAATGATGAAGAATGGTGAGTAGTTTGAATTCAGGTACTTATACTGTACTCATTTTTTTGTGTGCTAGATAAACATTTTTATTGATACACACTCTTGTAAAGTAGCTTTAGTGCTGAAATACTCAATCTCAGAAGCAAAGCAAGGTTGGGCTGATTGGTACTAGAATGGGAGACATCCAATGAAAACCAGTTTACAGCTGTAAGAGGTATTGATAGATCACTAGGTTTCCCCTGGACCAGAATTTTAAAATCATTGCCCCATTCCGGTGACAGGGGACATTGTGCTGTAGGAGGTGCTGTCTTTCAGATAAGACATTTAAACAAGGTCTTAACTTTTTGGTCTGCAAGGATCCCAAAGCACATTTTGAAAGAGTAAAGGTGTTAATTCTGGTGTCCTGATTATGTTCTACTCTGTATTTGTACAATCTCTTCTCCTTGATTTCTCCCTTCATTTAATTGATAAAAGAAGGCAATTCAACTCATTGTGTGGTGTGTCAAAGTAATTTGGTGCAACTGAACTAATAAGCTTTGCCACTGCAGACAGGTAATTACAGAACATGTGCCTTCAGGTGTCACAGACGACCTTTCTGTCATTTGGTGTGAGTGAATTTGAATAAAATGATAATTAGGTCTTCCACCGTCATACAATTGGATATGTAACACAACAACATTTTCAGGTGATCCAGTTCCATCTATTTAACTCCTTTTGCTTTTACTATTCATTTTAGGTTATTTTATGCAAACCCAAGCAGAAAAGAAGCATTCTGTTTGATTACTTTATCTCTAGATTTACACTGTGTAGGGTAAGGTCTGGAATAACAAGTCAAAGAGCATGCTTTCAGTGGTGCCACCGCGAGGTTGTGATCTTGTAATGACACCTTAAAATTTACTGGAACCTCATTTAATTGCATTTTTGAACCTGCAGACTAACCTGGCAGAGT